AGAGATTTTTAAAGATTCTATTATACACCCAATGAATACATAGACTCCCTGAGCTCAAAGGTAAGAAAACAAATTTTGAACTTGCAATCAATTTCGGTAAATTAATTGGTTAAGTCAGTATAAAACTGCTGGCATTTGAAGAGTTTAAAGTCAAGACTCTAGACTACCTCTTTGTTGGTTTGAAAAATCAAATTATGATACCCTCACTAAAAATGTCCCTAATGGAAATGAGGCAAGGTCACATAAATAACTTATACCAATAAACTTTTACCTCTGAGGTTAGTTCAAGAGGTGAAGTAATTAGTAGAAAAAATGCGGTAAATATTAGTAGTAAAAAGGGGTCACTTTTAGTTGAAAAAAGTTGTCAGAATTTATATTTTATAAAAAATTTCTCCACCAAAATCAATCGAGACAATTTCAGTTAGAAAAAGGGCAGTCAGAAAACTCGGTGTTTTTTACCTTGATAAACGAGCAGTGCCTTTTGGTATAAATTCTGTCGGTGGTTGCTTAATATTTTCTTTCAAATAAAAGCAGATAGTGAGAGACCTTTAGTTCGAAAAAAGGCGTCATTCATAAAGCATGTTTCATTACAAAAAATGTATGAAGTTTTCGCCGCCCAGAAGAACCGTGACACTTCGTGATGAGCGACTTCATCTCATATTTGGTACTATTAACTATTGTTCCTGGCCCTTGTTTTACCATTTTAATAGGGCTTAGCTTGCATAATTCTAGAACTTTAATGGAAAATCTTCGTCTTTGTGAACTGTCTGTTTAAATCAAAACTAGTTAATACTTGGTAGGAAAAACCTGTGTGCAAAATAAATTGGCGAAAATTAAGTGCATCTGAAAATCCGAAGAAAGTTCCACTCCCCCGTCCAAAGAACAGAAGTCACATATTTCGGATTTCGAGGTGCAAAATGGGTTTCCGATTTTGGATATTGGAGAAGGAATGTCCTTCCAGATATGTCTTTATGACCCTGTGGATACTGTACTCACTACTTGGGACAAAAGCTACTCTTTTGACATTGGACCTGGGAGGAGTTACAGTGTGGGAATATCTTCGCGGAAGTATCAAGACAAGAGTGGATTCACAAACTGCATTGAGGAGGGACAACCAGGGTAAGACAACCAAAAATACTCGAATTAGGGCAGAGTCGAGATTATTTTTAACCAAGCTCAGCTCTTGAATTTTTTGTTTTTCTCGGTTTATCTTTGAATGAGTCTCCGTTCGTAATGAATATTATACCGCCGTATATGGTGAGTTTATCACCCGAAAAGAGTCAAATCATCTTATAAACAAAATCGAGTCGTAAAAAAACTTTGAACACAAAAAATCTAGGAATAAATCGAAAACAGAAAGTTATTGTTCCGACTTTCGTAACTAAAGTAACGGAATATTTGTGCTCGGGGTGGTTTATTGTTCTTCAGACAAATATCGACTTTTTAACTAGCCATTTTTGACCAAATTTTTAATATCATTCGAAAGGTATTATTGTCCTGAGCTTGAATTTGAAAAGTTATTTCACCTGTGATTATTTTTTTGTAAAGTTATGAGGGGTTAAAGATTGCAATTTTGGCCAATTTGGGACAATTAACGCGCGATATAACGTCGGAGGAAAAGTTACTTGACAGCTCAAAAAAGCTCATAATGATCTCCCAAATTTTTGCTTAATCATATTTTAATCAATTTGAAGTTTAATTAACACATACAAACTTGAAAACAAACTGATTATGATTATATAAGTACTATTCAACTAGTCTATCGCATTTTCGATTCGTTTACCAATTGGTCAGTTTTTACAATATCCAATTAATTGAATAATTCTCATTTGTTTTTTTTCTGGTGAAATAGTTTTCCCAAAGATCGTTAGTTTTTTAAACTTCTTTCCTCTTTTTTATATCATACAAAAATTATAACAACACTTCTCGTATCAGGGCGAAGAGCCCTGAATGTTCCGACTGCCTTTTAAGGTCTATGGAGCAGCAATAACATGAAAATTTAAATGTACAAATTGCCAAAATTGTCATCTTTATGTCCGCATAACTTTATAAAAAATTATCACAGGTAAAGTGTCTTTTCAAGTCTAAGCTCAGGACAACAATACCTTTTGAATGATATATAAAAGTCCGTCAAAAATGGCTTGTTAAAAAGTTGAAATTTTGCTAAAAAAAAAACCCACTCCGAGAACAATTATTTCGTTACTTTCATTACGAAATTCGGAACAATAAGATGTTATTTTTTTAAATCAAAATTTCTTTCATTTTTCAGTACTTTTTGTAAATTACAATAATATCCAAATGTGAGATCGAGCTGTGATAATGATTAATTGCTTATTTTTTTAATGATTAATTGATATTTTTTAAAAATGATTAATTGCTAGTGAGACGTCACTTGACAGCTCGAAAAATCTCATGATTATCTCTCAAAATGGTGCTTAATCAAATATAGATATTATTTGAATTTTAATTGTAACAAATCAATTTGAAAATAAATATATTATGATTATACAAGTTCTAATGAAACAGTTTGTCGCATTTTCGATTCATTAACCAACTCAAACGCTAAAATTTTAGGCATCAAATTTTATGATGCCTATTTATGACTAACTGATGCCTATTTATGCCTATTGGGAGACGTTAAAAATTCTTAGAACTTTTAAAGATATTTATGAGTGTTATAGAGTGGCTGCCACTCTATAACACTCATGCATTCATCATTTCTTATGATAAAAAATCGATATCAAAAAATGTTTTCAATTCTACTGCTTTTGCCAAACTTTTAGAGAGATGCCTGCAACTGTGTAACCCGCAGTGTGGATTTGCAAAGTTCGACATTGAGAAATATTCACCAAATTCCCTAACACTGGTTTCATGCAGTATCTGCAACATATATCAAGCAATGATGAAGTCAGCAAAAATTACACGAAAGAAAACTACGACGAGCTTGTTATCAATTTCTCGCCCTTGATTGTTCAGCACACGATTAAGTTTCCGAAGTATGAGATCTTCTCGGCCGGAAGTTCTATGGATGGGCTGCTTGGAATAATTCTAGGCGGTAGCTTGATGACACTAAGTTATGGAGTTGGTTTTTGGTTTGATTTATTTGGCGCTTCTTTTTCTTCGTGTAAATATTGTGAAAGAGAAACGAACAACCTATGTGGCAAACATTGCTTATGAAAAAGAAACAATTGATGTTTAACTCAGGCGCGGATCTAAGATCTAGATTGCAATATTTTGACCTTTTTTGACCAATTACTCTGCTCAAAAATTGGATGCTATAAAAATAGTTCCAAAGGGGGACCTTTAGGTTGTCAGGGATTCGATTTCTTGAGGAGGGGCGTCCCCCTTCATAAATCAGCGACTGTTTTAAATGCATTTGTTTAAAAACAGTACCTCTGAGCATGATATCTTTTTTATTGAAAGCATTAAGACTACGCTCTGCAATTCAATTAGAACTCAGCTATTTTGGCGGAAGGTCCTCCACAAAGATCTCATTTTCGTCATGCAAGAACATTGCATGACGCAAATAAGATCTTTAGGGAGACCTTTAGAGAGTTCTAATTTAGAGAGATCTTTAGAGAGTTCTAATTGAATTGCAGAGCGCAGTCTTATTGCTTTCAATAAAAAAAGAGACCATGCTTAGAGCCCATGACAAACTCGATCCATAAAAAGACATGCGTGCACTTTAATACACATATCAATTAGGAGGAAATTAATTGCAAAAAATGAGTGTTGTATTTTTAAAAATGTTCTGAAAAAAGGTCACCCCAAAAAAGCCCAACAACGAAGAAAAGTTATCTTCTAAAGCGAAAAAGTAAGAAATGGTCTTTTTGAGATAACATGAGCTCCTAAGAAGGGGAAGTCCAAAAAGAAACTTGATTCAGTTCAGACAAGCTTGTCAACTATTTGACTACGTCTCTGAAATTTAGTCTAAACATTTTTCAATAAAAAGTTCCTTCTCAACGTAAGCTTTCGAAACCTCGCTTAATTATATAGAAGCTTAATTTGCAAGTTTCAATTTTTTGAAGTAAACTGTTGTATGGCCGTAGTTTTAGAAAGCGGCGATAGGTACAACTGTGGTAGTTGGGTTTCCAAAAATTATGATCGGTTAAAGAGAAATTTATAATATTCAATGTTCCGAAACAGCCTCTTTATTTCTTGAGATGTTCAATTTTCCTTACTGGAATTAACAGTCACTGCTCTCTGTTCCTTCTTAAGTCAACCAATATCGTAGTTCAATCGTGCTTACCTGTATGATTTGTAGGAAATTAGTCCTCAGAATGATTACCTCTCAAATGGCATAATTCCCAAATGGCATAAAAACTAAAAATGTCCCAAATGGCATAAATTTCATGCAACAGTTGCATTGAAAAAATCGAGAACAATCTTTTCGTGAACAATGTGAGAAAATTAGTCAAATTGTCAATTCAAATGTTGATTGACATTTTGTCTTGAAAAAGTTGTAGAATTTTTTTATCAAAGCAAGAAGCATAAGCTTGCGGTTATTAATAAGCTTGTTGTGGTCAAGTTTTTCGACAAATTTTGTTGCGTAAAATTGTTTGGAAGCAATTAATTCCATTCGTTCCTGACAAAATGTTTGAATTAGAAAAAGATAAAAAAAATGTTTAAATAACAATAAAAACTTGAAATTTATGCCATTTGGGAAAAGTTTCCATTTTTATGCCATTTGGGAATTATGCCATTTGGGAAGTTACCCTCAGAATAAGATATTTGGAAAAAGATTAATTAAATCAGGGATTGCATCGATTGAAAATTGAGTATTATATATTGGCAAATTTCAGATCGGGAACTGTGCAAACTTAGTTCACCTTCTCAAGACATCATAGTACAAATTTACGGAGATTGACGAAAATTTTTACAAAAGTTTATGGAATAACAGATTGATAGACACAGGTAGAACACTTGAACAGAGGAGTTTTTGCAGTTTATCTGGCGGCTGATTTTTCATTCAGTATTTTGATTAATATTTCCGAGGCCAATTATTCCATGCTTGTCGCTAGCGGTCGGGTCAACCCTGCCAAGCTTAGATTGTCGACGTGACTCGTGTTTGCAAAGTGAACTTGCATGGTCGGTTGAGCAACCGCCGAAAACGCCATCGCTCTGGCCGCTTGATCATCGACCGAAGCCGTATTTGCTTTGCTGACTGAGTCTTGATAGTTTTCCAAAGCTTGTTGATTGTGGTTCTCCAACTGTTGCGCGAAACCCGAATGAACAGACGCGACAGGTGAGCCCAAATAAGCTCCGTTGTGTTGCGGAGGGTAGCAGTAGAAACTGTTCAAGTAGTTCTGATCAATTTGCGGCGCAGCATTGGGCAAACCTGGCACTGGAGGTGTCGCCACACATCCATATGGGTAGGCCAAAGGGTTTGGGCATCTCAGATTGTAGCTATTGATCAAAGCGGGCGACGAAGCTGAGTTCATGTCCATGACAGTGCTGGGCACAGTTATTGGTGAAATTATTCCGTGATTGATAGTCGTTATTGGGATTTGCGGCGAGTGATTGGCTGTTGTGACTATTTCGTTAGCATGGATTTCTTGTCCGAATCCGTTTCTTGATGTGGGCGAACTCTGTCCGTCGAAAGGTTTGATCAATGCAGAACTCACCTGAAACAGAAATGATGCCGAATTAATGACTTTTCACATTCAGTTGTTTTATTTCAAAATTTTAAAAAATATGGTCCATTTAAAATTCAAATTGATTTAGGGTGATATTTACCGTAGGTCCGCGGCTCTGAGTTGCAATTGGCGATGTTGACATAGTGACTTGTGCCAAATTGGGATTTACTGCCTGTGGCAAAGCAAATGCTGGATTGGAAGCGTAGAGAAGGTTGGCATTCAGCATTGGATCGGGCGAAAGTTGAACTGGGTTCGCCAAGTAGTTGCTGTACGGGTTGCAATAGAGCGCCTGCAGAAGCTGTTGGTTGTACAGTTGATTTCTCATTTGATTCAGCAGAGGATTCGGTATTGCGGCTGGGTTCGGAACTGGGTGTGGTCCGTTTCCTTTTTTGACAGCATGTCCCATCTTTAGGTCAAGTCCTTTGATGACGAAGCGTTGTCGCTGAGATGAGTCGCTGTAGATTTCCAGGACTTTGTCGGCTGAGGCAGTGTCGGCAAAGGTGACAAAAGCATAGCCCCTGAAGGTTCCGTCCTCGTGATCCTGAATCATCTTGACATCGGTTACTGTCCCATAAGTTCCAAAGAACTGCGTCAAGTCTTCCTCCGTCACTTCGCCCTCTGGATTTCGCCCGTTTGAGGTCAACCCGCCCACAAAGATTCGCCCAGGGTATGTCACGCTTCCTGCTGGCAAAGTTCCTGCGGGCCATAAATGCGCACTTGTTGCTGGAATCGACATTAGGTTAGGAGGGACAGTAACGTTTGCGACCATTGAAACAATTTCTTCAACTCGTAATGGGAGAAATTCTTTTGCGCGCTCGTTTCTTGGGATTTTTTTCAGTCACGTGACTTTTTCGTTTACTTTACGTTGAATTTGATCAGACTTTGATCACAATTTCGATAAACCGGAAGCTGATTTTTGGTGTGAAGTTAGAAAATTATGCAAAGTTGTTGCACTTTGTACAAGCGTAAACTACTTAAAATTTGTGAATGGGAAATGAACAAAAAACAAACTAAAAGATTCCTTTTTTGATTGTTTACAAGCTCTTCAATAAGCTTCGGACAGTGTTTGGATTTTCTGGATATCAAAGATGTTTCTTCGATTAGATTACAACTGGGCAATTTGTTTTCCAAATTTTCTGTAGTTTAGAGTCTGAAGTGGATTAATTATTTGCTCCGGAAAACAAACTGGAACTCAACTTTAAAAACTGAATGAATGAAAGGATTTAAAAACCTAATTGAGTCTGCAAAACTCCCGCCGTTTTTTGCAAGTGTCGCCAGAAGTGGCCAATTAAAAGTAGGATGCACCCAAACAAATTTATGAATAGATCTGCAAATGCCAGAAGTAGCCAATGAAAATTAAGAACCTAAATATGACTAGACTTTGTTCACAAACTACCCATCGAACCTAAGGTTTTCATAGACGAAAACGTTGAACTATTTAAAAATGAAATGCTGAAAACATTTTTTTTAAAATAAATTTAGTGAGTAATAAAGGAATTACTCCAAAAACAATGTCACTTTTTCTAAGCATCTAGTTAAATTAAGGCGCGTGTAATCTTTCTGTTCAATCCTTTTTCGGTTTGTAAATGCTTCTTTAAGCGAGAAGCTGTCTAAAACAAAATGGACGCAGTCAATTAGTTTGAGTGACAACCAAGATTAAGTTTCCGGGCTAAAAATTATAAATTTTGGGATAGCAATTTAATTGTTCAGGGTTTATCAATGAGTTTCAAGTTGATTTGGCTGAGAAAATTACGACTACTAAGCAACGTAAGCGACCCTATATAACAACTTAGTAACTCATCAAACTTAGTTTAATTTTCAAATTCCAGCATCTTAAAACAAGTTTACCGATTTTTTTTGCTTTTGATTTAATAGACTAGATCATTATTTATATTTTAAAAACGGCAAAATTATGTGGTTTCTGACGAAAAAAAATGAAAATGTTTTTCAATATGCATTTTCAATATGAATGAAGAGATTGTGAATTGATGGTCAAAATGAATGTTTTCAAAACGGGTGAATTCCAAACACTTTTGGTCGACTAACAAAAACCTCAACTCGAACATCAACACGTACTAAGAAGAACCAATTTTGACATGTGAAATGAAGGTTAATTAATCTGGTGTTGAAATTACACCAGATAATTAGTTTAATTAATGGAAAATATTAAATTTTTCTGTTGAATTTTCAATTGTGCGTTTATCCGTGTTTAATTTTTTCCTGATTACTTATTAAAAGATAAGAATTTTTTTGTAATCGGGTAGCAAGCTTTTATCATGTTAAAAACTTGTCCAACAGAAAAATTTCACAAGAAAAGACTCTTTCCGCTCATTCTCCGAGACTCAGCTCTTATGAAGCGCGGACATTTTCAATTTCATGCACAAATCATTTACTGCTTCTGTAATTTGAATGCGAGCTCGGTTTTGGATTAACTTCAGTAAACACTGTTTTTTTTTAAACCTCAAGGTTTCGGCCTATTTTTTATCGGCTTAGTTAAAATGCATTTTACAATTGACAATAAAATTGATCTCCAACTAAATGGGAAAGTGACAGAAACTTATATTGGCAGCAGTGAAAAAAATGGAGAACTGCTCTCAAATTACGCGCTCAAAAACATGCTTTAAAAAGTACCCGATCATAACACACTTGTTATGCAGCTGTTAAGACTAACTCAAACAAGACTGCTCGTATCAGGGCAAAGCCCTGATTGTTCCGACTGCCTTTTAAGGTTTAAGGAGCAGCAATAACATGAAAAAATAAAATGTAATAAAATAAAATGAAAATTTTTTTTTCTAAAATTTGTAATTTTTTATGAAAATCATCTCCCCACACGCCATATAAAGTACAAAAGAATAGATTTCGCCCCTTGTAACAAATCAATTATGGCAAATAAGATTCCTTCTACCAATTTGGACCGATTTCTAAGACGAAACAAGACTGCTGGTATCAGGGCGAAGCCCTGAATGCTCCGACTGTCTTTTAATGTTCATGGAGCAGTAATAACCTATAAACAAAATTAAATGTAATAAAATAAAATGAAAATTTTCTCCTCTAAAATTTGAAATTTTTTTATGAAAATCATCCCCCCACACACCATATAAAGTAGAAAAGGATAGATCGCGCGTTAATTGTCCCAAATTGGCCAAAATGGCAATCTTTAAACCCCCATAACTTAACGAAAAATAATCACAGGTAAAATATCTTTTCAAAACTAAGCTCAGGACAACAAAACCTTTTGAACGATATAAAAAAATTTCGTCAAAAATGGCTAGTTAAAAAGTTGAAATTTGTCTGAAGAAAACAAAACCCATCCCGAGCACAAATATTCAGTTACTTTCGTATCGAAAGCCGGAACAAAAAATCTCCGCTCACGCGTTAATAGCGCGAAATATATCGCGCGTTAATTGTCCCAAATTGGCCAAAATGACAATCTTTAAAACCCCACAACTTTACAAAAAATGATCACAGGTGAAATATCTTTTCAAATTTAAGCTCAGCACAACAATACCTTTTGAATGATATTAAAAATTTCCGACAAAAATGGCTAGTTAAAAAATCGAAATTTGTCTGAAGAAAAAAAAACCACCCCGAGCACAAATATTCCGTTACTTTCGTATCGGAAGTCGGAACAATAAAATAATTGTCGCTCTTTCACAAATATTTGTTGTCACACGCCATTTTTTTTCAGTACTTTAGTGAGAAAACGAAACATTGCAAGAGGTGACGTACCTTTTGAATTGTGATGGAGAGACTGAATGATGGAAAACTAATTTCAATCAATTAGAAATATTATTCAAAAGTCTCACAGAAATGGCAAAAACTTCAAATTATTTAAATAAATTTAGGCCATTAAGTTTGACCGATTCCAACTTCGACCAAATAGAAAAATGAATTTTCAAATGTTCGCAGATCTAATATGCATGGGAAAAAATTAGGATACCGAATTTTAAAAAAGACTGAAAAACAAAACACAAAATTTATTCGATATCTGCACGAATTGTACAGCGAAATTTGGCTGTATGGCTAACATACATTTTCTGCTAAGTTTGATTAGCAGAAAACTGAAGAAAAAAGAATCAACTATGAATGGGAAAAAATTAGGATAGCGAATTTTAAAAAAGACTGAAAAATAAAACACAAAATTTATTCGATATCTGCACGAATTGTACAGCGAAATTTGGCTCTATGGCTAACATACATTTTCTGCTAAGTTTGATTAGCAGAAAACTGAAGAAAAAAGAATCAACTATGAAGACAAAAAATAAGCAGAAATTAAAAAAAGGTTTTTTCAGCTCTAAAATTTAACATTTCTTTAGTACAAAAATTACAAGTCCTGACTCTAAAAACAGCCACAGATAACAAACTAAACATCAAATACTTTACTTAAAAGAGTGTTATTAAAAAAATCATAGGTTTTGTCAGGCAAGAACCTCGACGACTAAGGGAAAAGAACCATAATGACATCAAGACTGATCTCGTTTCAAAGCTTGTTGTTCCGACTTTCGATACGAAAGTAACTGAATATTTGTGCTCGGGGTGGGTTTTTTTTTCTTCAGACAAATTTCGACTTTTTAACTAGCCATTTTTGACGGAATTTTAAAATATCATTCAAAAAGTATTGTTGTCCTGAGCTTAAATTTGAAAAGATATTTCACCTGTGATCAATTTTCGTAAAGTTATGAGGGTTTAAAGGTTGCCATTTTGACCAATTTGGGACAATTAACGCGCAATATAATTCGCGCTATTAACGCGTAAGCGAGATTTAATCCGTCTTATAAATCGTTCCAAATTGGTTGAACGAAGCTTATTTGCCAGAATTGATTTATTACAAGGAGCAAAACCTATTGTTTTGTACTTTTTTTGGCGTGTGGGGGGATGATTTTCATAAAAAATTTCAAGTTTTAGAAAAAAAATTTTGCATTTTAATTTATTTCATTTAATTTTTTTTTATGTATTACTGCTGCTCAATAAACCTTAAAAGGCAGTCGGAACATTCAGGGCTTCGCCCTGATGCGAGCAGTCTTGTTTTTTTATAAACAAAAACCAACCTTGTCTTGCAAAATAAGAGACGCGATGTTTACTTTTCTCAAAAAGAAGTTGATTGTTACAGAATCAATATATGCTAGATTCAAATAATTCCGCATTTACAATATAACACTTGAGCTACCAACGCTTTATATCAGATCACAATTTCTGGTGCATACGACAGAAATAGTCGTTTCTATGACGCGATTGCGATAAAACGTTTGCCAAACAGACAACACTTATTTGATCTAGAAATACAATTAATTTATTCTTTCTACCAGCTAAATCTATCAACGTTTTCATGTTTTAAGATGCAGAAAGCACTTTATTTCAGTAATTTTGGGACAACATACATTTCTGACTTCATTCCAGTTGACGTGGAGGCAACTTACGAAGCATCAATGAATATCCGCAGCATAGGTCGCGAGGATTCGAAAGTTTATTTTTTCGTCGACTGTTACGATAAAGATCGGAAGCAAATTACAGACTTAGACGTGAATAGAGTGATGTCATTTCCACCCGTAACAATCATCGGAATCTCAGAAAATCGGAAGATCATCTCAATAGAAGAAGAAGAGACCGACTGGGATTCCAATGTTCATAATCGGCTACGCTTTTATTTAGATGGAGATCTGGATAAATTGCCTTTTAGAAACTTCATATCGAATAATATAGTTTTACGCAAGACTTCGACCGAAATTGAGCTGGGAAACCCCATTGACAAAGCGGTGGACTTTAAATTAGGAGTTTCGAAGGCGCGTTTGCATCGATTAGGTGGCACATACATGTATCCTGCGTGTTCGAACCAATCCGTTCCCTATACGTGGACTAAATATGAGGAAAAAGTTCAAGGAGAGGTTTTTGCAGCCAAAAACAATCAATTCAGACTGGGAACCAAAGAAGTCAAGATTGGATTCCTTGCTAATTACCAGCAACAAGGGAAAGAGGTAGAATTCATTGTGAAGGACCTCACGTTTACCAAAACTAAGACCGAATTTAAACTTTGAACTCGAGTCCTCGGTTGCGTGACAGAAGCAAAGAAGGTAACAACTAGTAGAGATTGTTGCAAAAGAATGTGACACGTTTCGCCCCTCCAAATTTAAGGGCACATTTTACCCTTACATTTCGGCCCCAAATTTATTGCGGCACTTTGTAAGACACTTTGTGTGGGACGAAATGTGGCTATAAATTCAAAGGGGCGAAATGTGTTAAGATTAATGTAAAACCAAATTATTTTCAAATTCTTTCTATATCGTGCGGGGATTGTTTGAAATAAGATTGCAGGAATTAACTAAAAATTGCTAGTATGCGAGTTAGAAAAAATCTTAACAAATTATTCAGAGTGATGACCGAATAACTCAGAAAATGAGTCTTCTGAAACCAGAACATGAAAACTGACTCTGAATCGCGAAAAAACATGTTAGTCAATTGGCAGAATTAGTCTCTGCTGAATTGGCCAGATAAAAAATTACATTCAGAAGGGCTTTTTATCGAAAGCAGAATTTATTCAACTTTTTTTGAATGCGAGTAACTATTGAAATCGCTTGATATGATACCCAATACGATCTTTCCCATGATTTAGCGATTTGAAACAAACTGAAATAAAATGAGCCAAAACCTTTGTTTGAGTAGACCAAGAACTACCAATATGTATACTTTAGGCCCAGGTGAAGCTCATTTTGAAAAGAACATGTAAACAAAACCAAAACCCGTCCTTACTTTAGCATTGAAATTGAGGAAGCGATAACCAGGCCAACATAGGAATAGTCTCAACAAGTGGTAATTTTTTTTTCTTTCTTAAAAAATCAGCTAGTCAATGCGTCTCGTCAGCACCTCAACATTTAGACAAAGCAGTTGATCGTGAGAAATCTCTAATACTAGTATTTTAATAACTTGCCTTGATAGTAAAAATTGTTTTTTTTTTAAATTTATGTTTCGATTAATTTTTTGATGTTATCGCATAAGTTCAGCGTTAAATGGTTTCTGAGTCCTGCGCAAATGCTGTCGTTTATAGCAGCCGTTTATGTGGACACTGAAAACAAAACAAAACAATACAAAAAAAGAGAAAAACCAGAAATTGATTTCAATTTATATAAAAGGGTTATACATCCTCAAACAAAAAAGCTCAAAAAAGAGCAGAACAAAAAATTGATTTTATAGGCTGGAATCTTTCTATAAAAACTAGGAATCAAAATTATCTAATAGAAAATAAAGCAAGAAAAATTGCAAAGATAAATTTTTAGTTCAAACTTTCAAATTCAAAACTTGCAACACGTTTACGCTTGCAGAAAACAGACTAATTGCTCTTTCGTAAAAAAAACTTGTGCGAAGCCTACAGTTAATTCTTGAGAAATTGGCCGGCAACAAAGCAGACAGAAGTGAAATCAAAAAGCTTCAGCAGGAAAAAACCGAAAACTTTCAAGTGCCTCCTTGAAAAAATTGTTATGTCATAAAAACCAACCTGCTAGTCATTTACAGCTAAACCATTCAAAACATAGCTACAACTTTTAGACTTGTTTACTGATTATAGAATAGTCAACATTGCCTTTGAATAAAGTGTGAATAACGTCCAACATAATGAGATATGAACAAACAGGGATAAACGGCCGCTGCGCAAGCAGCCCAGAATGTTCAGCTGGATGTAAGTAATAATAATCGAACAGCCAACAGCCAATTGGTAAAAGACAATGCACGCACGTAAACAGGAAAAAAACTGACTTCAATTAAAAAAAATTCTTCTTTCGAATTTTAAAGAAAAAAATAGATACCTTTAAAGCTTTCTGAATTTCTAAAACAAATTATGACTGACTGGCACGTTTTTTGATAAAAATAACTCAATTTGAGAAAACTGGATCAATAAATATTTATTTCACTGGGAAAGTAATTTTTTGAAAGAATCTGTAAACTAAATTCCACTTTCGAAAAAAAAGAAGTCAATCATGTTTCTCGCGACCTTTACACTTTTGCTGTTCGATAAAGAAGTGTGCCTTCTTTTTAGTAAGAAAAATTGGAACTAAAATTGGAAAGAAATTAAAAGTCAAACAGGGAGAAAAAGTTTGAGCCAGAGCAAATGATAAGAATTTTGCTGAAAAAACGCATACGAAAGTCTGAACAACGTTCATCGACTCAAAATTTTTTTAAAATAGAAACATAGATGGCCTTAAATTTCTTTTGAATTTCTAGAATAACTTATGACTGACATTTTTTTCACAAAACTAACCCAGTTTGAGAAAACAGGTAAATATTTTGTTTCGCTGGGAAATCTGATAATTGACTTTTACACTTTTGCTGTTCGATAGATGAGTTTTTCTTCCTTTTACACAGGCGAAGTTGCACTTCCCATTACACAAGCAAAAATATGACCGATAACACTACTGGGAAACACTGAATGAGTAAAGCTTTGAGTCTACAAAATTTCTTAAGTGACGAACGCCAATTATGAGTCTACATAACTACATAATTGCTAAGTGCCGCCAGCCAATTATGACGCATTCGCAGTACCAGTCAATTTGAAAAAAAAATCTACCAACTAACATATCTAAATTTATAGAGCGGATGCATTTTAACTACTATACGAAAAAGTTCATTGAAAACATGCGACCCTGCCCAGGTTCGAAACATCTTATTTTGTTGCTGGTCTCCTTCCTTACCTCTACGCTACAAATCCACGATTCCTTGAAGCTTAAATACAATTTGTAATATAATAGTGTGTAAATATCCTTATCGTTGGCTGCACTCAATAGCAGGTTATTGATCAAAATGAACACTAATATTTGCGACTTAGGTTGAAAAAAAGAGAGTTCATTCTATCACACAAGCTTTGCTTGTGTAAACACAGGAAATGAACTGATCGTAAAAAGAAATCAAACCGCGAAAAAGTCAATTTGAAGCTGAACAAATTTGAACAATTTTCTAAAAAATCATTTAGAACATATTGGAGTTTAGGCTACGTTCATTGAGGCTTGAGAGTTTAAGGTTTTGTTTAACAAAAATTTCCGGTATTTTTTAAGAAACGACCAATTGGAATAGGTAAAGATCTGCAGAAAATGAATGGGGCAACAATTTAGTATGAAGACTGAGAGTTTCTGGTTAATTTTTTCAATACACGCACATCTTTTCCGACTTTTTTTGGGGGGGGGGGGGGGGGGGCTGACATGGCTTTCATGTGGTACCACAGAAAATTTACTCGAAAGTTCTTTCTTCTTTCCCGTCATGTGGTTTGAACAAAATGTCGAAATCCCTTCACGTGGATTGAACAATAAGATAATTGTCGAATAAATCAGTAGAGAAAAAAGTTTCTGTTGTATGTGCAGTTTCGAACGGTGAAAAAATCACTAGCATTAACTCGTTTATCAAACTGGAATCTAGAAGTTTTCCGAGTTAGCAATTTGTCTAGCAGAATCACTTTGCCAACTGACATTTTGTTAACCAATAGATAATGTTGAACTAATTTGTTTTTTAAGTATTTGCTTTTTTAAAATTTTAACTTCAGTTTTGTTTTCAATTCAAATGTTAATTCGCTTTGAAACGTTTTGGTTTATACTAAGTCGACTAAGCTGTCTCAAACCTCTGCGTTTTATTGTGAAAAAAAAAACGTTTCGTACGTGTCGTTACTTCGATAGAATTTCAAAAAAATCTCTGGTTGTAAATTTTTATCTGGCAATACAATTATTGCTCAACGGAAGCTTCTTAATTATCCTAAATTTGTCAAACTGGAAATTTCCGAACTCGGGAAACTTAGCAAAAAATGATTAGAGATACAGATGAAATATCGTTGAAAATTTGGGCACAGAAGTAATATCTTTAAGACTGAAGAAGCTACAGTATCCTACATGCATCTCCTCAGCATTGATTGTACTTTATGCTGGATTATATGCATGTACTGTTAAAAGTACACACAAAAACTGAACTCAAAAATATGCAACATGTTATATAACACAAGCGTTTGCTTGAGAAAAAACCTAATATTGAGGTCTCCCTTAATTTTTCAAAAAAATGTGTCAAAATAGTACAGCTTAAATTGAAAACTACACATTACATAAAATGAGCCACTAGACTGCAAAATGATAGTCAAGTATGCTGTTTAGTAAAAATATATTTACTCAATTTCCCTCCGATTAAATCAGTGGCTAAAAATTATCGAAAACTACTCAAAGCACCACACGATTTGCTCAACGTTATTAGCAACATGAAGAAAGTCTGGTCGATTTCGAAATTTAACATCATTATTTCTTAGAAATTGTCATTTTCGTTCGCTGTTAAATCAGGTAATTGAGAAAGATCAACATGAAAATCATACACATTTTTGACCGTTTTTATTCATGTAATTAATTCAAACGAAGAGAAGTAAAACATTCAGTCTACTTCAGTTTCCGTTCGATCAACAAAGTCGCCGTCGGCGTCAACTCCTTCGCTCGGAACGACTTCTCTTTGTCCTTCTCGTACGACAACTCCTGTCTCGGCCACGAGGTCATGATTCGGTAGTTGTCGGGGAAGTAACCAATGCTGGCCACGAATGCAAACAGCTGAGTCAGCTCTGAGTCGGCAACAAACTTCCGAGTTAGAGTCTCATTCGTCGGTGTTCGGATTCGGACATTCGTCACATCACCTTCAAAAAGCAAATTTCTTCAAATGAAACAAATTTACTGTACCACAAAGTTTAACAAAAAATACAGCAATCGTGAAAAGTACATGTTGATGACTGATAATAGTTCAATACTAACTAATTTTAATTTAATAAAGAATATTCAAAACCATTTAGTAGAAACAGTGCATACAAAAAGTGAAAAAGTAAAAAAAAATGAATTTATTGCGCATTACTGATGAAAGATGAACAATTTAACCATTAAGCCACGCATTCATGCTAGCTCTTAGAATATTGTTGAACCCGAATTGAATTACCTTTGAATGAATCATCGGGTTCGGGCTGTAACTGTTGCGTGAACATGTCTTTCTGCTCTTCTTTTCGCTTCGCTTTCTCCGCTTCCCGCTTCTCTCTCCTGTCACTCTCCTGCTTTTTCTCTTGTTCTTCCTTCTTTCGCAGTTCCTCTTTCGCTCTGTCGGCTGCCAATGATTCTAGAACGAAAGAGAGAAAAAAGAGCTAATAATGTATCCAATTTTGAGATTGAGAATGAAATTAATTTTGCATCAATCATTGAATTCACCAAAGCTCCTATCATCTTCAAAGAATTCTTGGAAAATCCGAAACGGTTCTATGATTTAGCTAATTTGATATGCGTAATACTGCTGGTGTTTATCAAGAACAAAACTATTAACGATAGAAATACAGGGTAAGTTGAATTGTACAGGAGCCCTTTTGCACTTTGGATTTTTCGAAACCTATGAGAAACTAATTTTTACAGGTTCTACTAGTAAAGGTAAGGTTTAAAAAAGAACCCTAAATTTATTACTTTTTCAAAAAATGAATATCTCACCCAGATATGCTTGGTTCTGTTCGCTGAGGAGTCTCTGCTGGGAAGCCCTCTCCCTATCCTGCTTGCTCTCTTTGGCCATGACGAGGGCGAACTGCTCATAACTGTTCATCATAGTGGCCGCCACCTCGTCCAGCGTCTGACTACCACTGATGAAATAAAGAAGACAAGGTATAACATTAATAATTTTTAACAACAGATATGAAGATTGTGCAGTGGAGAAAGCTCGCGGTTAACACACCCTATAGCTCGCAGGCCAGAAAAATTAACGGAAAACAATAGCATTTAGTTTCCACCAATTTTATTTCTGTTCCGACCATTTAGTTTTTTTCTTTTTTTCTCAACTTTTCTTGTTTTCGACGCAAAATCAGCTACCACAAATAATCATCGGGCACAGTCGAGAGATATATCATATTAAAGCCCTTCTAGTTTTGACTTGAACGACATTAAAAAATTTTCCACATATTTTTCTGGTGTCGAGAAAAACTGGTTTCAAATTTTTGAGTTTTCGTCCATTTTCGAGTGAGTAGATCGACCGAGTAACGTTTGTTATATATGAAAATTAGAAATTTAGGCTAAATAACACTTGATTTAACTAAAAAGCAAAACTAGTTTTGGAAGCTTCATTTAGCTCTTCTCTGTTTAAAAAAATTCTTTCAAAAATATTTGAAACTTCAAGCAAAAAATCAAAAATTTACATACTTTTTAATTTTTGAAGACCATTGGATTCGTTTAAGCCTATTTTTTTCCTGCAAATGTGGTCGGAACATTTTGTGCACCTTGCAAAGCAACCGGCTATCCTTGTTTAACATGTGAATGGCTTCTACGTTGCTTCCTATTATATTTGGTTTTAACTGAAGCTGCTTCTTTGGAAACTTTTCTAAACCACTGTCTTTGGACAATGTTAATGTCTGCCCACATTAAATTGATTTTAATTCACCATGAGATTTATATTATAAATCATGCGGTGCAAGTTTTGATAGTTCTTCGGATAGTTTTTTTTTAAATGTATCACACAAATCAAACGGATCGGACATTCTATGCTGTTTGTTACCGCGAATTCATACTTTTCTTATTTGTCTCTTAAAACACAGAAAGGAAGTTTATTGCGGCTCACCTTATTACCTGTAGAATGTCATACATGCCATTCTGTTTTCCAATGAATATCAAAATCGGATACTGCTTGTGATTTCTTTTACTCAGATCAATGGTCGCAGGGCCGAAGTGTTTACTTAGCAGGTCAAAAAACAACTTCTTGTTCGAATCTAACGTGCAATCCCAGCCCCAAAACACAAAATTGCTGTTCAAAATATTCAAAACATGTTCTGAACACAAAATCGTCTCACAGAATACATTCGCAAATACGCTTCGATCATGGTGCGCGTATATGGCTAGTAACTTTCGGTCAGACGCTGGCAGGCCACACGAACTTTCAATGGCTTCGGCGAAATTGCCCAGGTAAAATGTTGGATGTGTTTCACCATAACGGTCTCGAAACCTCTTCATAAATTTCTCCTGACTTTCTAAATCATCAGGGGAAGCATCTTCTAAAAGCCGTTCACCAGCACCCAAAATCATTTGAGAATGGGACTCGTCTATTTCCATGTCTTCGAAGTCTCCGGTTCCTGCCGAGGTTCCTTCTTCAGAGGTCCTGCTCAGAGAAGTACCTGTTTGCAACAAATCATCAATGGCCGTCGTCGCGTATTCTCGGCCAGCTATTGTCATTTTGATCAACTCCAACTTATGCGGGTTACTTAAACCCAGAGATGACAGAAAGTCCGCTTCATCAGTATTCGAAGGCCAGCCTTTCCATTTTTGCTGTCTTAGAGGTACTAAGAAAGAAGTCGCCGCTTTGTTCTTAACTTCTATCACCATAGCTTTTTCCGAAAACTTGAAAACCTTTTTCAGCGTCATGCCAGACATTGTATCATCGTGAGTTATCTCAATACTGATTAAGTTCTCTTCTGAAACTGATTTTGAGTTGAGTTTATTCGGAGACTGTTCTCGATTCCTTTTTAATGCACTTGAACTTGACTGTAATTGATGATTATTAATAGTGCCTGGCATGTTTGAGGACAAAAATGAGAACCCGTTGTTGTCTGTAGGGCTATTCCCGTTACTTGCTGGACTGGATGGCGAGGCAATGTAACTGTCTAGCATTCCGTTGATGTCAAGTGGATCTGCTCTGAAGTCGCATGGTCTTGTTGCGGATGTTGTAACACGGCTTCCGAGTAAGTCTGTCTGAACTAAACTACTTGACTGCTGGCCGGGTGTTGCTAAGTTTGTACCTGCCGTAGATTCGGTTGGATTGGACAGTTTCTACAACAACACAGACCAATAAAACCAAAACCTACTTTTATTATATAACTTGTGATGAAATCTGATAACCAATACTGAAAATATTTATTTGATAGAGAAACTATTCAAACAGTTGCCACAAAAAGTTCTCAAAACTTGATCTTTCAATATGCTTTCACTACATTTGTTTCTATTGACTATAACAACATCCAAGTCCCAGGAAAGAAATAAATCATCTAAATTATTAGAAAAAAAGATTTCCTTGTCTGATATTTTTCTATCCCTTGCAAAATATGAAGCATAAGTTTACCTCAGGCAGTTCGTGTCCATGTGTGAACACGTGATTAACTGCCATCTCCAGATCCCAATTCAACCTCTCAAGGATCTCGACTGCAAACCCAGTATCCTCAGTGTCCGTGATCTCCTGGAATGTCATCAAGATCTGGTCACGCTCCATGTCTAATTTATCTATCTGCTCAATGTCCTCTTCCTATGTCGTCCTAGAGCTCTTTCGGCTTAGTTTCGTGATTGAATGAGTAGACGTTACAAGGCTAACAAAATTAATCTCATCAACCAATATACTATCTGAAAACATAAGCTTCGCGGTTCTCTCAGTTCATATTTAGTCAAATCGACAGACAGGCCCACGATCTCAGATAGAGAACAATCAAAACGCGGTTTAGGAAGTTAGACGACAAGCAAATTAGACGACCAGTAGGTAACTGACTTGTGTGCAAATGGTGTGAAAAATATTAAGACTTGAACTAACTTGAACCACAAATCAGGTTATTATTGTCACAGTATTATAACTTATTATGCATTTCAAAAATGTACTATACTTTCCGATTTAATGTTTTATAATCAATTTACTATATAAATTTTTGTAGCAGGACAATTTACCCTATCGCAATCTACCTTATGTCATTCTACCCTATATACCAATCTACCCTACGCCGATCCATCCTATGCCTACTTACCCCACAATTATCACATCTAGTGCAAGGAATTTATATGGAAGTGTCGATTCTTTTTAAACTTGTCATGTAGATTTAAATTTAGTTTCGATATTTCGCTGTAATTTTGTTGACCCAGTTCTTATCGTCTAACATCACGGAATATTATATTCTAAACTCATTCCTTTACGGTCGTCTAATTTGCTTGTCGTCTCATTGGCTAGGCTCCAATTCAAAGTTAATTCAGCTTAATTCATTTTCAGCTGTATAGTGTTGATTTGAATCGTCCGGAGAAATCAAAAATTTGAAAGTAAGCATGCGTTTCTCTCAAATTGGGTTGATGTAAGACGAAAAAGACAAAACATACCTCAAATTTTAGCAGAAATTATGTTTAAATTTATATTGCTAAATTCGAGCCCAAAACTTCAACTGATCAGTTTTGACTTTTTTAGTATTACGCCAAAATTTCCAAATCAATTGCTGGCAAAATTTTATCGAAGTGAGCCCAAAATCTTATGTAGCCCAAAAATTTTTTTAAATTTTATGTCTAAAAATGGAGCAAAACGTTTTAAAAATTTTTTTAACAAAAAATGGAAAAATGGGTGTTTGATATAGTAAAATGACTTTTTGGCTATTAAACCAAAATAAACTCATTCACTCAAAAGTTAGATTAACCCTTCTCAAACTTTGTTGGGCTACATAAGTGGTTTACTTTGATATAGTTTTGTCAGCAATTGAATTGGTGGTTTTGGCGTAACTTTTGATTGACCTAGAAAGCCAATGATGGGTTTTGGCTCAAACTTTGGAAAATAATTTCACCATTTGTCCTTATACTTTTTCGTCTTAATTCAATCTAATTTCAGAACAACCCATTTTAAATTTCAAGTTTTGTACGGATAACCTAAATTAGCACTGTAGGCAGAGGGAGCGGAGAGGAGAGTCGCACCAAATACAATGCCAAATTTCGAAAGAATAACTAATATGTGAAACAAATAGTTCAGTCCAAGTTTATTAAAATCGTTTAAATATAACAGATGGAAGAGCGACTCATTTTGCAACTTCACTGGAAAATCTTCAATTTTCGAATTTCAAAGAAAAATATGAATGGTCTTTAACCTTTTTGAAATTCTAGAACCATTAATGATTGTCTATTTTTGATAATATGAGAAAACTGGATCAACAAAAAGTAAATAAAATTCCTATTTCTAGAAGTCGATCACGTTTTTCATGACTTTTACACTTTTCCTGTTCGCTAGTGGAGTTTTCCTTCCTTTTAACAAAGGAAATGAACTAAACTTGAAAAGAAATTAAAGCTGCGAAAAAGTAAATTTGAGCCTGATAAATTTTCAGACTTTTCCTGAAAAAAAATATATATATCAGGACCTATATTAAAGTCTGAACTACTACGTTTTAAAAACCGGCAAAAATTCACTGAAAAGAATTACATGCGGTTGGGAAGATATAGAAAAAAGTGTTTCACTCAACAAAAATGACAAAACTTGTTTTAAAAACTGTAAAGCTCACCGTTATCCTAAAATTAAATTTTTTCAAAGCAGATATTTTAATTTAGCTCAAAGGTCTAAGCCCGAGTCAAAGCAGTAGCCAAATTATGAACTTACGCACCGCATCAAAAGCACAGATTGATTTGTCAGAACTAGTTGACTAGCAGAATTTTATTTCTAAAATTTTTATTTACCAACACATACATTTCCAGTGTTGAATGTATTTGTAGAGAGTTTGAGAAGCATCAAAAAATGCATTTTTTTATCCTGATTGTCGCACTGCATTTTTTTGATCCTAATTGCCGCCCGGTATTGCCACACTAATATTTTTTTGAAACAGCACAAGGTGTTCTGACCACATATGTGCTGCACTTTCGAAAATATTCAATAGATCGTATACCAAAAACTGGTAACCATTTAATTTAACCTTTTGATTTAACACAGACGAAGCCGAGCTTCGCTCCACTTAAGATACAAGTTTAACAGTTCGGACTTTTTCCTATAAAATAATAACTACCTATAACAGTCAAATGGAAAAAAGTCAATGAACGCAAGGAAACCAAACAGAAACCACCACTTTATTTTATTGAAAAAATCTCACTTAATTTCAAACCTCAAAGGAAAAAATTTTATTGTCTTAAAGCTCTTCGAATTTCGAGAACAACTTAGGAATGACACTTTTTTGATTTTTGATAGAAATTAACCAATTTGAGACGACTGGCTCAATATATGTTTTTTTTTCAGCTGGGAAATTTTAGAACAGAAATCCAGTACGCAACGAGAAGTCGCTCATGTTTTTTGCGGAATTTTCGCATTAATAATCGGTGAGCGCAATTTAACTAATTTTCAGCAAATTAATTTCAATTGAACTTTAAAAAAGCAAATACTCTTGATTGCATTCATAAATGCATTAATATTTATGAATTCATTTCTGTAATTTATCCTAAAAACTTTTTCCTAAAAAAATAATAATCATAAAGACCCATTTAAATGAAAATTACTTCGTTTTTTACAGTTAAAAATTATTCCAGATGATTCGAAAAAGGAGGCTTTGAGCAGAGAAAACTGCTCTTTAAGAAAAAAGTAAATACACGCTTAGAAGTACATGGCAAAGCTTAATTAATTTAATTTATTTGCTAAGGCGACTGTACCCTTAAGCTTGGATGACCCTTGATACAAACAAACATTGGTAGGTAACATTCTCCAAATGAAGCCATTTTCCGCTTTAGTGTTCACCTTAAACTGCAAATGGTCCGAGCAAAGAAAAAAACTATTCGTAATTAGGAAAACGGATTATGTTTTTTCTATACTAAATTCCCTTTGTGGAAAAGTTAACTGAATAACTACTTAAAGATTCAAAATATTCATAGCTTTGTAAATTGGTTCATTAAATAAAGTGCTTGGCCCTGTGATTTTTAAGCGCTGATGATAAAAGTTCCTCTCTTTGTTTCTTTAAGCAGTGAAAGTTAAATCAAAATCAGTCAAAATTCAAAAATAAATTTCAAATTTTTTCGATTGCTTACTTCTAAATTTCTTAAAGCCATTCATTTGATTAAAATCACTGCCTAAATTAAATTTATTTTTTAAACATATTTTAAAAGCACCGTAATTGAATGCTTCCAGAGTTCAATGGCTTCGGTATTTGCTCATCACATGAAGTTTAAAAACCATTCACTGCAATAAAACATGGAATGTCAAACAGAAATAGCCGTATTCTTCTATTCGCTTCACTCAATTCTTCAAATCAGAGATAAAAAACTCATTTTTTATCAAAAATGATTCTCAATCATGCCTATTTTTCTGCAGACTCTGTGTTATTAACTAATCCACCAAGTTTAATTGTGAATTACTTGACACAATTGTTTTTCAAATTGAATTGATTGAAGCGAAAAGCCATAAAACGAACAAAATGACCATTTGAGGAACTCCAAACGACTATGAATTGCACAACATAATCTATAGTAGTTGAATTTCTCGTTTCGTACTATAGAGGCCGGGGTGCATGCAGACCCCAGATAGCCTGAGTTAAAGCTGGCACGTTGGTCTGTTTGGGAGCCCAGTTGTCCAAATCGGACCCAGTGGAGGTTCTGTGGGTTAATTTATGATTTATCTGATGACCACCTGACATTTCCAGCTGACTCAACACCACGATCACCTAGAATGAAGACTATTCTAGTTGGTTCACACGATTTAACTCTGACCAGGGTCATCTAACTTTGTTCAGAGGTAGGTAAGAGCAATTATTGTGTCAGTGAAGCAAATAGGGAGTAATCTCATTTCTGTAAACATTATCGAGCAACCAATCATTGATATAATTCTTCATAGGAACTCGAATCCTACAATATCCTAGGAAAGTAAGAAATAAACAAATACAGAAAGAGAGAAACTAATCCAAGCAAAATCATCACAATTTGAGATTTATAACTCTGAAATTTATCGGAAAGAAACCTGGAAGAGACAAGCAACGGGATCAGCAGAACCTCTTAGCGCTTTACCTCAAACTTTTGATCATCATAATGTGAATTTAATCAACAATCTCAATTTAAATACTAACATAAAATTCAATAATTTTTTTTAAAGCACCGGAGCAGGATTGCAACCTCCGCGTCCGGTTCTTCTGGCGCGCGTCATACAAACTGCACTATCGGAGCATATTATTTCAGAACACAAATCAAATTTAAAGCAAAGCAACAACTTTTTTCAATTTATTTGTTATCTCGCACTTCACCCATAATTGTTTCCAACCCTCTCCTCCCTTTCACCTACACATGCCTGAGACGGATTACTCTGTTCACCGTGGGTTACCCTATTATCCATTAGTATTCTCACCATACATATATATTGCACAATCAACGGACCCTTCCGGAAATTGAACCCAATCATTATGATGATGTCATGAATCATTATGTTGATGCAACTGGGCTATGTCCTTGAAAGTATAATTAAAAAGTTCGAAATTATTTAACATGAATAAATCTTTTAATTATTGAACGTAATTAATAATATCCTTCGCAGATCATTAATTGGGCGAAGAAAGCAAAGAGCCGATTGATTGCAGCTTGTTGAAAAGTTCGTGTCTCGATAAGTGATCGTTTTTTGGGGTCTTATGCACTAAACGGCCCAAAATCAAATATTGTACATCCTAAGCTGGAAATTATGCGATCGAATTTGATTGGGTAATTTTAGCCTATCAAATTCAAGTTAGACGGTCAGGCATTCCGATCTACCTTTCCAGCAGATAAAAATATTAGCCGAAATTTCCGAAAAGATGGAACTTTGTAAAATAATCAAATTAATTTTGAGTTACTTGTGAAACCTTGCCCAGACAAGAAAAACTTAATAAAATGGCTTGACAACAAAAATTCAAATTAATAATTCGGCTAATAACTTTATCCGCTTGAAATGGCAGAAAATGTCGATGGAACTTGATTGGCTAATTAGCCAATCAAATTCAACCACATTAATTTCAGTTCAAGAGATGTAGAAATAATGATTTTGGGCCGTTTAGTGCATAAGACCCGTTTTTTGTTCCATCATTTTCCTATAAGTTGATTGTTTCTGTAAAAGCATGGTAAATCTCCTAGTTGTCACTCCAGAATTATCAAATTTCAAAAAAAGTATATTCGCAGTTCAAATACAGTTGAAATCTTAATTGGCATGAAAGTTAAGAATAATTTGCAATTTTAGGGACTTTCTAGTGTTTCAGATTGTTTCTTGAAAAAAAAACATTTGTTCGAAGTCCAACTTATTATTAATATTCGTAAAACACTCCAAACAAAACAACTCGCCTGTCTGTGCATTGGCGGTATGACATCCATAGTGAGCAGGTCTCCCCTGGTGGCCACTACGTTAGTGCTGTCCTCACAGTTGCACTTGATCTGCAGAAACAGGTCGGCGTCTCTGTTCTCCACAGCCACTATCAGTCCCGCCCAACCTCCACTCAAGTAGTACACTGTCATCCCTTTCCTACCTGCACACCACAAAAGTTAAGACGATTTATCCACAAGAGAGAAGGACTAACAAACAGAGCTGTTCAGCTTTTTACAGAGAACCGCCGTTGTTCCCCTGGTTAACTACATGCAATTTATTTGACAATTTTTTTGCTACTAAGGAATAACTACTTTTAATAAGTAAACTCAAACAAATCAATTTATCTTTTAAATATGAAACAAAAAATATTTTTTTTTCGAAATCAATTCAAAGTTTTCGGCCAATTTCACTCCTCTTCCTACCTGCCATAATTATAAGCATATTTATAAGATTCCAGCATTAACTCCTAATTTTTTTCATCTTAAAAATTCAAGTTATTTGAAAAACTACCTTTCAATTATGTGAGTTAATAGGGTTTTAGACATGATCCAAAAAGATGAGTAAATAAAAAGTCAGTGATTGCACCAATCTGTACAACTAGCATATAAATTTTTGTTTCGAATATTTCACGATCACAATTACAAAACTGTTTCAAATTAGGTCAATTAAGCTGGTTCTACATTGGGATGGGAGCAAATCTATTATCATTGTTAAATTAGTTTTCTACTTTTCATCATTTATACAAAGTTTTCTACTTTTGTGTACAGATATTACCTTCTTTTATAGCATACTTTGAGGTACTCTAAAATGAACCTTCATAATCTGAGACAAAAATGTTTTTTTTTTAAATATAAAGCTTGCATTTATTCAAATCTTACCTTCATGTTTGATCCCCTTTTGATGTGCCGCGTGCCACAAGCAATCAGCCATGGTATAAGTTCCAATATAAAATCTATCCACCGAAATTTTAGACATGGAATGAAAGGTCATGGTAAATTTCGGCATCTTCTTCAGTTTCGCCTTGGTCGGCATTTTCTGTTCACTGTCATAATGATTAAACGCCATCGGAACAACTACATACGTCCCCGGTTTGAAAACATGCGCCACGCTAACGAAAGATTTCAACTGTCTTCGACTATGTGCTGTCATCTTAATGGGCGCAAACGTTTTATCATTACAGCTCGCAACCACTATTGCTAAATCCATGCATTTCGACATGTTCGTATGTCTATTATTCTTCTGAAAAAGCGTTATCACAACTTCTGTTGACTTTTGTATTGTCATTAAAGACATGTGCTGTTGTGTTGACGTTAGCGAGGGCAATATTCCATTTATTTTGGTGAAAATCCAATCATGATTAATTCTACAAAGGTCTACGCTGTCAAAAAACTGGGTTAAGTCGTTATACTCCATCCAGAATACACCATCATTTGCCCGGTCTGCTTTTAACTTCTCTTTATTACCTCCCTTTTTCATCTGTGGTGAGTCATCTGACCAAGCCCCTTTCCAGGAAAACTTTCCCCAAGGGTTTCGTAATCTAATCAAGCGGTTTTTGCCCACTAATTTTACATCTAAAACTGAATAAGCGTGTCTTGGTTTCAAGCCTACATCTTCAAAAGCTTTATCATCAACTTGCATTTGACCACCGCCGCAAGAAGCGCCCATAATATGACCCGCTTGTGTAGCAGAAAGCAGTTGACCCCAAATAACTTCATGATCTGGGTCAATTTCATGCTTCATTTTCTGCAGATTTATGGATTCGCATGGGGCACCTGTTAGTAACGACAGCCCTTCCACACATTTGCCCGCAACTAAAGCTTCGTAACAACCGAATAGTTTTGCACATGCTTTTTCGATAAGAGGCGCCCATAATTGACGTCGGCTACAGTCGGAATAAAGGAGCCGGTTTCGTTTGTCGCATGGGAACTGGTCGTCGACTGTAACTAAAGTCCATGTTCCTTCTCGACAAAGACGCACCTCATATACACCTTGAACAAAAATATTAAATCCTGATGGCCTAAGAACAACACGCTTCGATTGATGTGATCTATAAACAGATCTTGTCCTCAGAAAATAGTTTCTCTTTCTAATTCATTTTGATCTGATTTCTAAGAAACTCCTTTCAAAAACAATTAAACTTAGTTATTTTGCAAATATCAATGAGTATTAATATTCAAAAGATCCCGAAGTTAAGCTTTCTTTCGAGATCCGCTCGTATTGGTAAATGATTGATGTTCGATTTCGTATTTTCACTTAAATTTATTGCATAATTTCTCCCCCCAATTATACCTATACATACCTGTCTCGCAATATTCTTCCACGGGGAACAGTTGTTTGAGGAACTCCGGCTTCTCCGCCAGCACTCCGAGTGAGCTGAGGAGCCAGCAATTTCCCAGCACTCCCTGGATGATGTCGGACCCCTTGGGTTCCCTGAACACTGCCCATTCCAATTTGCTTTTCTCGCTCTCTTGGAACTCTCCTGGTCGCAGCCACTTGTACACTTTCTCATCTTGGCTACAGAACAAACAAACATTCACAGTTAATACCAAATGGTTGGCAATTTTTTTTTCGCGTTCCCCTGTTGATGTAACTGGTTACCTACAAAGCCTTGGTCAGACCAATTTTTCATTACGCATGCTCAGCTTTACGTCTTTAAGCAAACTTCAAGTAGTTCAAACTGCCACCATCTGCACTATAAAGGATTGCACCAAAAAACAGTTCTCCAGAAAATTTATATGAAAGTAAAATTTCAAATGTTGCCTACCATCATCAATTACTCTCCGCTCAGTTCACCACTTCGAATGATTTTACAGTAGGATTTTAAAACAGCTGTACACTAAAAGTGTCGAGCAGGCTATTGCATATCCTTCTAAAGACTTCCCCTTCTAAAGAATCCCTACCTTGCGGCAGCAAAAGAACATTTTCCAACTTGAATTCCAGTTACAGCCCCTTCTTGAACATCTACTTCACCAGAATAGACCCAAACGTCCACCTGAACTACCCCTACTGTACTTCTCAGACCATTTAAAATCTTTTTTATATGTTTTAAAATCATCACTTTTTAACCGAAACAGACCAGTGGCTTCGGCCGACCGAATTCGCGAATTTCCAGGAATCGTTTTGAGCATACTATATCGTTTTCGGTTAACGAACCTTAATGAAATTAAGTTATCTAAAACTGCCCATTTTGATCCCAGATATCTTTTTTAAATTCAATTAAACACCACACTTGCGTCAAAAACACAAGTTACCTATTTATGCTAAACTCGAATTTATAAAAATTTGAGTTTTCAACATTCGCTTAACAGGCAGAAAATTTTGGCCTCACAATAAGCTGAGCAGATCTTGAAAGAAAACACAGAGGCGGAGCAGAGCTTCACATCACATGCGATACAACGCAAGTGCAGCATTGAAAGCTAGCGAATAGAAAGGGATCAAAATAACAAAATCGAAAACTAATCAATTTCCGGAAAAAAAATGAAAACAAATTTAGACAAAGAAGCGAAGCAGAGCTTCTCATAAAATTGCTGAATAAATCCGAAAAATATGGAACTCAGTTTCAAGCATCATTAGCAACTTTACAAAAAATATTCTGAATATTTAGAAAACAGCCAAACTTCTGGGCGAACTAAGCGGACAAACAAGCAGACAGATAAAAATTTCAGTTTGCCAAAAAAAAACAAATCCCGACTAGAATCAAACATTAGGACAATTCAAAAAACGTTTCAATTCAATTTGCGACAGCAATCAAAAGATAGGATGAAAACAGCCTAAAGCTCAAGAAGGAGCAAAGAGGATTTCAAACCAGGTTACAATAGAATGAATTAGTAGTTTCTTTTGTTTAAGATCTGTTTGAAATTTTTTTAGTCCTTGTTGGATTGATTTCCAGTATTCAAAAACTTACAGAGTCTTTGTGACTTAACTTACAGAGTCTTTGTGAGTCTTTGAAACTTACTATCTCAAAAAAACACCGGAAATTTTGAGAAAACTTTGTTAAGTAAGCCGACAGAGTTAATGACGAAAAAAATCTTAAGCTCCAACATATATTCCATGAATGCTAAACTGATACTATATTCAAGTTAAATTCTAAACCGACCGAGTCGGCAACCGTGGAATCGATAATCATCCGCAAAAATCAAACCGAAAATCTTTACAGAGGCGAATAGATTTAACACGAACAAAAACTTAAGGTCGAAAAAAAAGAAAAAGGTTGGAAAAAACTTAGGTTAACCAAAATTTTGGTATGTCTCAATAAAATCACAAGGACCCAGGAAGCGATTGTTTGATAGTATGAAATGGGTAATTTCAAAATCTGGACTTTACCCAATACCTTAGTTTTCTCTAAAAAACATGTTTACAATTTTTCCCGAGGACAACAATTTTCTTACAAAGATTAACGATTCGCCGCTTCTGCAACCGGATTTTTCATTTCGAATTTGATATAGTAGATTTTACGAAAATTCAAAATCGTTCTATATATGGTCATAAGTTCTGCAGAAAAAAGATCGTGGCCGCGTAAGCAGTGAAGATTTTCAGAACCAGGTTTATCGAGTGAACATTCACTAAGAATTGACAGTGTACATTTGAAAAAAGTCAAGAAACTTCCAATAAAAGGTTCAAAACTTGGACATTTTTGAAGGCCATAACTTTATGCAGATAGACTTTCAACAACCTGTTGTTTCGGTTGAACCCTTGATTAAGAATTGGCAAGATAGTTTGAAAAAATTTGACTTTTCCCAGAATCATAGATTTTTGTGAAAAAAGTGAGCGTAGCCGCACAAGCAGCGGAAACTCTTACAACCTGTTATTTCGATTGAACCCAAAAATTCAGATTCTCAGTTTTGGGAGTGTAATTTTCGAAGAAGATCAAATAATTTCAAAAATCGAAAAAGGAGTCATTTCCGAGAGCCATTTTTTACTTTGGGAAAAAAATGGGCGTAGTCGATTATACAGGTGATCTCCCTAAAACCCGCTATTTCGATTGAGCCCAAAATCGCAGATTTGGGAGGGTAATTCTCAAGACAAAACCAAATTTTAAAAAGATCGAAAACCAACATTTGACTTTTCCAAGGGCCATTACTATTCGTGTAGAAAAAATAAGCTAAGACGCTCACACAGGAAGGCTTCCCACAGCACCTTCTATTCATTGTACCCAAAATCTTAGTTTTGGTATGGTGGTTTTTGAGAAAACAAAAAATCCAAAAATAGAGATCAAACATTCCCCCACAGACTTTTTCGAAGGCTGTAGACAGTAGGTTAAAATAAAAAGAGACTAGAATATTATTCAGTCACATAGAAAAAAATGCTGTTTTTCCAAGGATACTGGTTGATTGAAGAAAAAACCACAAATCTTGCAAAAATTGTGAAAATTCCTGAACGGAAATGAATTTACCGGAAATAAAATTTCAATTTCATGCTGAAAAAACAAGGTCCTGTCGGGACTCCTCAAATTAGAGGGAGCCACCTTAGAGTGCAAAAGCGTGCTACTTCCAGGTCAATTGGGAAGGCGCCTGGAAGTTTCTAGGTTCAATATTAAAGCAAAAGCAAATTCTTGTGAGAAATTTGTTCGCGAGAAAAAAAAGTCTTGTTCCCGATTACAAGACATTTGATTTCACAAGTCTAAAAACAGTCGAAAAACACAACTACCAGTATTAAATAAGCATCTAGTATTTACTGAGCGATCATTAACTCGACAACAACTATGAAGACGCCCATTGAGCCCAAAAAATGCCATAAAAATTGTTGTCGAAAATAAATTTTAGCAATAAAGTTATAAAAATTTGAAATCTTGCAACACAAACTACCTTTTAAAATCTTCATTTTAAAAATCAACCATCTTTTGTCTGTGAAGCGACAAAAAAGTATCTTAATAAGCCGATTACACATTAAAGCCAAACCATTAAGGCCGAATAAGGCTTTTAAGTGAAAAAACAAAGGAAAACCAAGAAAAATATACGTCAAGGCTATAAATTTTACAAGAATTAACAAGAAAAATTCAGAGCCAGTTGCAGGAGTAACACAGTTGAAATTACAGGAGTAAATAAAAAACATTTGCATCTACGATGAATATGGTTGACAGCACAAAAATTTCCGATGCGGCAACTAAGCCTACAAAACATAAGCAGACAAACTTAAGTCCGACAAATCAATTTTTCCCGAAAAAAAATTTTTAATTTCATACATTCTGAAAAAAACAAGGACCCGCTGGGACTCGAAGCCCACAACTCAGGGTTCAAAGGCAACCGCGTTAACTCTAGGCCAAGTGGGAAAAAGTCTCGAAGTTGCCTGGGTTCACTACACAGACGAAACTGCGCTTCGCAAACACATGCGAGAAAACGACCAAAAAGCAGCTCTATCAAACGCAAAAAGAAAAAATGAAATTAAGCCTCGAATTAGCAAAAACTCGGCTATGTGTAGGATTCGAATCTGCGATCAAGAGATTTTGAGTCTCACGCACTATCCACTCAGCCACACAAGCTTAAAAAACGACAAACACTAGTCACGAATAAAGCATCTACATATGCTATTAATCTGCCAATGCGATTCAGCAAAAATGGCACCCAATACAAATAGACTGAATTTTCCAAGTAATAATTTCGAATATAACAAACTGAAGGCATTAACACTAACTTGGCATGTAACAAATTGTAAAGCATAAAACCACCTTATGTATAAATTATACATTTCAAAATTTGCCAAATATATTGAGTGAGAACATTTTTTGAATCGAGTTTTCATTATTGTTGTTGTTAGAAACGAATCACTTTTTTTCAGTTCATTTGATGAATTAAAAATGCATCAACTGTGTTAACTTATTTCTATTCGAATGTCAAAGCACATGCTATATTTGCCAACATTTGCTCCTTAAGTTGGAAAAAAAGATAATTCATACTAATACACTCGCTTCGCAAGTGTAAATAAAGCAACTTCACAATTTTACGTCACAAGGTGTTTACGGGAAAAAAATCTAGTTTCCGATTACAAGACACTTGCTCTAGCAAGGTAAACCATTCAGTCGAAAAACGAAAACAAATCATCTCAAATTTCTTCTTTTCATGGCTTTCACGAAAATATAGATTTCTTTGAGCTATGCCAAATTGTACCTACTTCTGCTCGTTGTACTGCACTGAGGTCTTGACTGGTTTCGCTCCATTGAAGTAGAGACTCTTGGGCGAAGGAGGAAACTCTTCGTCTGTGAACTTGCTGTTGTCCTTCTTGCACTTGGCTATGATGCTGTCGATGTCATGTTTCGCATGTTTTTTGTCTTTGTTCCTCAACTCACTGTCAAGTCGACTTCTCTGTCGCTTCAACAGGGTCGGTGATGATCCTCGACCTAGAACATGAGAGAAAAATTGGTGAATTCCGCAAGCAAGAACCTCGTCTATCAGAAAGTTACATGAAGGAAAAATATAAACAGACGAAGCTGCGCTTTGTAAACACAAGCAAGAAAACGACAAAAAAGCAGCTCTTTAAAGTGAAATACAATAAAAAAAGAGAAGTTAAATTTTCAAGGTAACTAGAAGGCCTTGAAAATTAAAATTTTTGCCGTGGCGGATTGGCTTCTACGACCAGGAGATTTAAGAGCGCCCTGTCCTCGCATCTGCGCCACGGACCCTTGACAATTTACTAACAATAGCCACAAATAAAGCAGCTACATATGCTAATAAATTACCAATGCATTGCAGCAAAAGTGGCACCAAATACAACTAAACGCAACTTAGCATCTAACAATTTGAACAGTTTACTGAAAGCATTCACACTAACTTTGCATGTAAAAAACCGCAAGCACACAGCCAAATTATGTATAAATTAATGCATTTCAAAAAAATTGCGATATTAATTGAGTTTGAGAAATCGAGTTTTCTACTCCCCACCCCCACATTCCATTTTCAGTTTTGAAAAACTATTTTACGTTGTTATAATGTAATGAAATTTTGCATCGTGAACAAACTAACTATTGTGAACACATTTGTTTTTCATACTTTACAAGGTAACGCCACGCATTCAGCCATAATAACAAAAAGGAATACTACGAAAATGTAGAATTTGAAATGTGGCGGAAAGGGGAAAAAGCCTCCAGTTTTTATTATTGTTCCGACTTTCGTAACGAAAGTAACGGAATATTTGCGCTCGGGGTGGTTTTTTTTTCTACATACAAATTTCGACTTTTCACTGGCCATTTTTGACGGGATTTCTTTTTATATCATTCGAAAGCTATTGTTGGCCTGAGCTTAAAATTTGAAAATATATTTCACCTATGATTATTTTTTGTAAAGTTATGGGGGTTTGAAGACTGCCATTTCGGCCAATTTGGGACAATTAACGCGCGATAGATTTCGCGCTATTAACGCGTAAGCGGAGATTTAATCCGTCTTAGAAATCGTTTCAAATTGGTTGAATGAAGCTTATTTGCCATAATTGATATATTACTAGGAGGAAAATTTATTACTATGTACTTAAAATGGCGTGTAGGTAGATGATTTTCGCAAAAATCTCAAACTGAATAAAAAAATAAATTTAATTTTTTTTACATTTAATTTTTCGTGTTATTACAGCTCCATGGACCTTAGCAGTTTTCTCTATTAAGCAAACATGAAATAAAGTTGAAATGAATTTCGTACATTGAAGCTTAATAATCTTCAAACTAACCTTTGCTCTTGGATCTGGACTTGGATTTCGAATTGGACTTGGATTTGCTTCTCGGCACTTCCGTGGTTGCGTCGGTCGTCTTAGTTGTAGTTGTCGTGCGTCCTCGGGAGGCCATTGCGATGCTTCAGCTTCAACCGCCGATTCCGATCAAGTGAAAAAGTTGATTTTGCGATATTTATACAGGTAACATTAATCAATTAATTATGTACAGTCAGTTCTGAAACGATAGCTCAATATTGTGATCATATGAATTTGTAACACTAATTACGCAGAATTACAAATAATTGGGAAACATTTAAGTTCTTCTAAAAACATTTGGGTCCATCTTGATGTTAACTTTGATCCATCACGAAACTGGAACTTTCGGACCGTATGAACCAATTTCCTTTCAATTTAATGCGAAAGAAAATTCCGTCAAACACTTGAATGCAATCCTACACCCAGCTAATGAATAGCTTTTTACTCTCCGCAAAAAAAACAACTATTGAAATTGATGATACAAATGCCTTTTTAATTTTTCCTACGTTATATCTTTCCTCAGCTGCATGGACAAAGTAGCATGAAATTCTTTACGGAAAAACATGCTCGAAATTTCTCAGACAAGAGTTTGTTCAAATTATCTACACAGCGGCGACGGAAGCCTTCGCAAATTTTGCGAGGAGAATAGAACCAAATCTGACAGGCAGCTTAAAATTATCAAAATACTGAAGCTGAAAAATACGGAAAAAACTATTATTACAAGAACAAGGATTAACTTTGCTGTGCAAATAGCACAGAATGTTCCGACGACATTCATATAAAATCTAAAAAAAAAAGAATTTATCTTTTTCTTCAAATTAGTGTAAGTTTTAGTGTGTGGTGCGAATAGAAAACTATGATAACACGTAGAAAGTTAGTGAATTAGGCTTAATCGAGAACACTTGTCAAAAATGAATTACGAACAAAATACTTTGAAACAAATTGGGGGAAAAAAAAGCTTTTTTAATTAAAAAAAAATTGCACAACATATTTTTTTGCTTCTTAGAAAACCTTTGTTGCCAAGGAAGCGCTAAAAAAAATTCCAAAACTGGTTCTATATTATATCAAGTCACGTTTTTTTTAACCTGGAAGCCTAAATAATAGCCAAAACTTTCTATAACAAACGTTACTCAATCGCTTTACTCGTCCGAAAGTGAACTTGAATTTAAAAATTCAAACCAGTTTTTCTCGACACTACGAAATTTTTTGAAAGTTTTTAAGGACATTCGAATCACGACTGAAAAGTCTGTAAGTTGATATACCATTCGGCCCATTCAAATAATTATTTGTGGTTCCTAATTTTGCGTGGAAAACAAAATCTTAACACAGAGACGAAGCCGAGCTTTGCACCAATACAAAACAGCCATTAAATCGAAAAAAAAATCAGAAATGCCGAATCTATATCGAAACGAATGAAAAAAGTATCAAAAAATTGCACCAAGACAATAGAAGGTAACAATAGAAAATTTACCAAGCTGTAAACAAGCCGGAAATACCTGAGAGGACAACAAAAAAATGAAAAAAAAGCCCTAAAAACTAATCAGCAGACTTTTATCCCCCATTCCCCTCAATACACACAAGCACAGACAAAAAATTTTGCTCAAACGACAAAAACTGAGGTCAATAAGCCGATATGAAGTCGGCCGAAACTTATCAACCCGAGAAAAGAAAACAAAATGAAATTTAAAAAAGACAAAATCAGATCAAAATGTGTTGAAGCCGAAACTTATTAAACCGAGAAGAAAAAAGAAAACAAACGAAAGTCACATCCCCTTCATTACACACTCGAACACATTTTTTTGCTTATTAAAGGACGCAATATAAGGCGAAATAATATAGGACAATAAAGCCGAAATAATATAGGACGAAACTTATTTAACTGAGAAAAAAAGAAAAAACATGATTAAAAAAAACAAGTTGGTATAAAGCTACACCCAACCTAAAGAGCAAATTTTGAATAAGACGGATATTCAAAACGCTAACATGCTCATAATATGTCTGTTGCAGGTTCCAACAGAGAGACGACTGCTGCCGTTCAGAGTGCAACGTGCTGAAAATGAAGATCTTAAAATTGGAGATCATCATGTGCACAAAGTTGTACTCGGTAAAAAAAGTCTAGTGTCCGATTGCAACACCCTTGCTGATTGCTAAGGAAAACACACCCGAAAACACAGTTCCTCCCCAATTTTTGGAACAAGAACAGTTGCAACGTATACTGAAAAAAAAAACTGAGATATTTTGAAACTTAATGAACTTTTAATTTTCGATAAACTTTGTAATAATCAAATTTGACGACTTTTGGTGAACCAACAAACAGCTCACCAATACAATTCTCCAGAGAACAATTCAGTATGAAGGCTGAAGAAAGAAACAATGCGATATTAAAATTTCATTGGGGGGATTCTGTATAATATATTTTTTTATAAATTTTATGCAAACATTCCATTTACATAAATCTAAGGCATGTGTTGAATGAGGCAACACTGCCGATTGAAACTCAGCAAAATACTTTGTACACGAACAAGATTAACTAAAAAACCGTTCTAAATTTTCAAATATACTTCAGATGTTTTCATAGCCCAAGCCAAGCCCAGTTGAGATTGGTGCAGTTGGAACAAAGCAACAACGAATCATAATCTTGTCTAAGATCCCCTAAAACTAATCAGCCGAATCAATGCAAATAAAAACAAGGAAAATAACTTGCTGTGCAAGAAGCACGAATGTGCTGACCACACTATCTTTGAACGAAATTTAGAAAAAATTGAAAATTTTTTTTAGATGTTTAATAATTTAGTGAACCAATATTAAAACGCATGCTGCTACTAACATTAAAACTATTTTAGAAATTAACTTGGGATTTTAAATAGAATTTAATTTGGAAATATTCAAACCGAACCTAATTAACTCAACCCTGAGACAACTTTTCTGAAGTTTTTTCAAGTCAGAATCACGAACAAAGGGTCTTCAACATGATCTTTCAGTTGGCTCCGCAATTTTTCCTTGAGGTAGTTGCCTACTTAAAATTGGCTGAAAACAGTTTTTTTTAAACGGACTTTAATACATAGTTCCTTTCCACTCTTTGAGAGTGGTCGGAACAAAAATGGCACATTCTTATGAAATGAAGATCTTTGATTTTTCTATAAACGCGGGATGTTCATCCCTACAGAAACCTCAATGCCATTGCCTCAATTTAACAGAGCCATAAGAGCTAATAAGGCCAAAATTGGTGGTAAATATTGACATCATAGCCGAAAAATCAATCCCAACAAGTGAGGATATGTCCCCCAGACTTTCATGCGCGGCATACAAAACTAAGCGCTAAACATTTTAAAAGTATTTCATTAACCACTTAAAACTCTTGTATGGTCTTCTATATACAGGGCCAACTTCGCAAACAACCCAAAAAACAGCAGAAAAATCTCTAGAAACAGCAAAATGAAAACACAAATATCGCCTTTAGTTCGGCTGTCATTAAGCCGATAATATATTAGCCGAAATCACTTGGACAGCAAAAACATAAAGAAATAAAACAAAAAGAAAATATACAAGTAAAGAAATTGCAGACAGATGTAAATCAAAACACTAAGAGAAACTTCAATGTTAATTGCGCATCGCATGAAAAAACAATTGTGAGATGTGGCAACTAGACCGACAAAACATAAGCAGACGAATAATAAGCCGATTTTTTTTTGAAACGCAATAATTTCCGTTAAAAAAACAGGTCCCGGTCAGATTCGGAACCAGGACCTTTGCCGTACCAGGCGAATTTGTTACCTCCAGGCTAAGTGGGCTGGGAACGCTACCTAGGTACCACTAGAGATGAGTCCAGAAGTACACTAGAGATGAGTCCAGAAGTACAGTAGAGATGAGTCCTGTAGACGAAGTTGTTAACGTAAAAAAAGTACCCGACTGAAATACTCTAGTCCCTAATTTCTTTGCAGAATAATTCTTTGATTTTTTTAATAACTTTTTTGCCAAGAAAGCGCTCAGTTTAGCTCTGAAAACTACTTTTTTTGAATCAAAATACGTTTTTCACTACTTTTTTCTTTTATAATTTAAAAAATTTTTCTTTAATAATACCAACTCAAAAATTTTTAAACGTCGTTGTAATCAAGACAGAGTGAAAGTCTTTAACATGATCCGATGATTAGTTATGTTACCTGATTTAGCGTGGTACTAAAAATAAATCCGGCGAGAAGTGCCCCCCCCCCCATTTCAGTGGTCGCATCAATACTGCTCGTATCAGGGCAAAGCCCTTAATGCAACCACTGCTCTCTATCGTCCCGATGAAAATTTATTCGAAAAACCTTCTGTAGATCCCCTGAACGCTAAGCGAAAAATAAATTGATATATATTTCGTCTGGTCACGTATTATCAAAACAAATGGGTCAAAATAAATTTAAGCGTTTCGAGTATTGGTTAATGGTTTCTGCTTTGATTTTGTTTCGACGGTTCGCATATATCAAGCCAGAATGGCTGATTTGGCGTTCCACTGAAAGAAAGGTGCTGATTCTTTCATAATTTCAATAGTCTACAGTTGATAGCAAGGATAGCTGGTTACAGTGCAAGTAGCACAGAATGTTCCTACCATTGTGTTTTTTTTTTTGAGTTTTTTCAGTGTGATGTGATGAAAGGATCTGACGTAAAACTATAATTTAGGCATATTCGACAGTCATAGTAATAGAGGCAAATTGGACAAAACTGTTTGTAGAAAAATCACATCACTAGAAAAACAAAAAATTAAAAAAAAAATTAACGTTTTTTGCAGAAATGTTTTTGAAATTTTTTTGTTCTCAAACGGAGCTAAAAAAAACTCCAAAAACTAATTTTTCTTGAGTAGCACAAAATTTCCACGACTTTAGTTAAGCATAAATAAGTTTTTTAATCCTGCTTAGCCTCACCTTATTAGCTTGAAATTAGCCCAAAAATCAACAAATTTCAGCTGGTTTTTCTCGACACTGAGAATAATTCTATAAATTTTTTTACTTTCCTTCGAATGACGACTGGAAAAGCTTTAATATATATCACTCGAGCTATTCGGATGATTATTTGTGGAAGCTGATTTTGCGTGGAAAACAAAAAAACTAAAACACCCGAATACAAGGTTCCTCCCCATTCTTAAACGTTCTGTGGCAGAACTTTGGCTGTGATTATCCGAGGAAACTCATGCATTCGTCGATACACTCTAGTCCGAAACAACAATTCAGTGCGTTTAAATTCCTCACTACTCACATTACGTGTAGATCAAAGTTTTTTTTTATTTTGCTCGCGATTTACATTATATTCCACACACGTAGGGTTCAGAAAATTTCGGAGAAAAATGATCTGTCATAGAAGTATACCTGAAGAAGTTAACTATTAGTTGGGAAAAATTACGCTTCTAACAATTGTCCTGAAAAAAAAAAGATTTTTGGGTTGGGATAATAAGCCATCGTTCCAATTATTGTAATCTGATCAGATACTGATTCAACATGACATAGCACAATTGCTCAGTAGCATCACAGCCAACTGATATGTAGAAAATTGTCAATCAGCAAGAAAACGGAAAAAACGGCTGATAATTTGGTTTTCTTTTTTTTTTCAAAAAATATAAAGATGGCCTTAGCACTCTCTTAATTTCAAAAAACTTTTATGATTGATTCTTTTATTAATTTCAAAAAACTTTTATGATTGATTCTTTTATTAAATCTACCAAACTTTTGACACCAGGATTTGTCTCGAATTAAACTAATTTCTAGAAAAAATGTAGAGCTGCACAATTGTCGGCCCTAACTGATCAATTACAATCTATCATGTTCCTCTTTGCTGATGATAGCAAAACGCGTTGCTCTGATTTCGACAGTCTACAAGATGATCTGGACAGATGTATTGCCTGGGGACAAGCAAATGAAATGGTTTTCAATGCTGGAAAAACTCAGTTCATTACGTTCAACAATCAGTTCAGCAGAAACGACAAACAATTAACGACAAAACAATTTCAAAATCAAGAACATTTTTGCATTCCTGCTTTAAAAGATCTCGGCGTGACACTCAAACAATTTATCTTGTAGACCACATATCAACAAAAGATTGGGTACAGCATATGGAACCCTCCTTGCACTCAAACGAAGTATACCGTCATCAACAGCTCTTTCCACTCGAAGAAAAAAAACTTTTCAATACATATATTCTTACCGGTCTTCTCTTGTCTTCAGAGGTATGGCATCCTTTGTCCGAGGACCTTGCCAAACTTGAAACATTCCAATCTCGTGCAACAAAATGGTTTTCCATGGGCACTTACAAAGAACGACTAATCAAATCAAATCTTCTACCGATATCTCTGCAGCTACAGCTTCGGGACCTGCTCTTATTTAACAAACTTTTGAACCAGTGCTATGATATGGATGTTTGGCGTTTTGTCTCACTTCACTATAGACCCGTGTACAGCTTCAGAAATGATAAGCCATTGTTTGTGGTTCCGAAAACGAGAAAAAAGACTGATAACTTTTTCCTTTGCCGCGTTGTTCGGTTGGCTAATTATCTGCATCGCACAAGCTGTTTAAATGTGCTTACGGATACACCTGCCAGCTTTAAACGTAATTTAATTGCTCTTTTTCATACTTTTTTGGTCACTACTTATGACAGAAACACATGTAAAAAATAATTTCTTTGCTCTTGTTGCTGACTTGTTAGTAATCTTGTTGCTCTTTGATTTTGTAAACGCTGTTTGTAGTTGCCTTTTTTTATAATTGCATATAAGCAATTTAAGCCTTTTACTACTACTACATCAGAGCAAACTTAGGGTAGACGACCGTTGTGGCGAAAAAATGATGCCCTATAAATCTGAGCAAAACAATTGAAACTCGAAGTCCCCCAAGCAAAAGTTACAGCTTATTCAAAAGGAATGACGCAATATGAGCCTTAGAAGTTGATATAACATACTTCGAAACCTATTAGGCCGAATAAACTTTTAAATAAAAAATAGACTGAAAAAAAAATTACCCAAACGGAGTTGGTAATTGTACCAACAAGATTTTTTTTAAAATTCGAATAGAACGGGTAATTAAAATACAAACATGCTCAAAACAGTTCTGTTGCACTTTGACGTCTCCAGACAAATGCTCTGAACAAAGTTCTTCAAGGGAAAAACGTCAAATACCCGATTACATTACATTTGCTCTCACAAGTGTAAAAACCATTCTCCGGAAGAGAAGTTTTCGCACCTAATTATGCTTCGTTATTTCGTGTGAGGAGCTATATTTGGATATTCAAGATAAAATTCAAATTCTTTAATTACGCGCAATCGGTAAAAAAAGCTAATCCAAATACAAATACATAATTTTCTATTTTAGCTCAGTTAGAAAGCTGATGTTCTTCTGATTAAAAGCTGATCATCTGAAAAGCTAATGCAGTAATAGCGGGTTAAAACTGACTATGAAGTCGGAAATTGTTTATTCAATTTTATTCGTCTTTAACTATTTCTGGTTTGTATCCAAATGCAGCCGCCGCGCTTAACTTTTTACCATACATTTCGTATCTCCCTGTCATTTGGAAGCACCACTTATCTTTTGTTTGCCTGTTCAAATTCAAATCCATTTCGCATACAAGCAATCCATCTTTCATTCTGGATAAACCAGGTGTTCTCGAGCCATCTGGCGCGGCAACATAACTAGACCCGTAAAAATGTCCAAAACTCTTGTGGGCTTTCTTACCATCGCCGCTAGTAAACTCATTTGGAAATGTCTCAGTCCCGACCCTGTTAATACCGACAGCAAAATAACTATTAGCGATTGCCGCATTTCGGGCTTCTATTGGCCAAAGAGGTTCGCTCAAGGCTCCCACAGTTGCCGACGGGTTGAAAACTATTTCGGCCCCATTTAATCCAAACATCATCCAGTTTAAGGGGTGGTGTCTTCCGTAGCAAATATTCACCGCGATCTTGCCGAACTCAGTCTCGAAAACAGGATGACCTGTGTTTCCCTCCATGTAGTATGTACTCTCATTGAAATCACCAACTCGCGGAATATGATTCTTTCGATGTTTTCCCAAAACTTTTCCTTTATTTGATATTACAACTGCAGTGTTCCATATGACGTCTTTTTCGTCTCTCTCCAAAATAGGAGAAACGATTACCATGTTATACTTTAAAGCGTAATCTTTCAGCATGCGCGTTGAGGCACCGTCTTCTGCATCTTCAGCAAACTCAGTCCACGGTAATCTTTCTCGGGTGCAAAACGCAAAAGGCATTGTCCAAGCTTCTTGGAGGCAAAGAATGTTGACCCCACATTTCCCAGCCAAATCGCATGCTTTTCCAATTCTACGAGAAATGCATTCATTCTGTGTTTTCTATGTAAACAAGCCATTTTTAAGCAAAACAAGAAGGTTACCTTTCGAAGAGAGCATCTTTTTGCACTGCGACCGGCTCAGTCGTTTCTTTCACTATACGGTTCTGGAAGGCTCCAATTCTAAATCAAAATTTTAAACAATTTTTTTAAAAATTCGATGAGCACAAGAAAAGGATTACATAACTAATCACCTGACAATGCGAGGCGGACGCAATTCTTCAGTAGCCGCGTTAAACGCGTGCCCTTGAAGTTCTACATCAACAAGTTTTGCAAAATCTTGAGCAGATAAGTTAAAGTCTATTTTATCCAACTGTTTTCCAAATAAAATTCTATATGCTTCGCTGCGGTGATCTTCACAAGAGACAGAGTCTAATACTTTCTCTAAGCTTTCAACTTCTAATGCCATAGTCGTATGATAATGGGCTGAATTATATTATACTATCTATGAGAGTGAAATTATTTGAAAATGATCAAAACGAGCCTCAGCTTTATGCTTCGCGGTTGCTTTTGATAACGAACAAGATAAGAAGATTGGACAGCACTTATGCAAGTCAGACTAAGCGAAGTAACTCACTAAAATTTGTCCGATTTGTTTAAGCTTACTCGTGCTTAAAAGCATTAAATCATGAGCATAATGTTACTAGAACTGATATATTTGGATAATTAAGATTTGGTAAACTCGTGTAAAATTATATGCTGAAAACACTAACTTTTTAAGTCAACAACAATCATTGACCAAACAAGTAAAAAATATCAATCAGATTACATGAAAAACTAATATAGAAAAAATCAAACGTTGAATAACTTGGGAGCCGCTCTAGACTAGTTTCAGAACACTCCGAGAAAATTATTTTGTGAAAATTACCAAGCAGAGTAAAACATTTCAATCAAACGAAAATCGACAGTCAATCAAGTCAACAATATTGTCAAATTTTTACTTACGCCATATGTCAACTACACTATTCAAAACCCACCAGCTATTAATTCAGCATATCAAGAAAAATCACTTCCATAAAAAACATCTAATAATTGATTTGCGGCTAGGCTAATATCAATTATTATATTTTTTTTACTGCAAAATGGTTTTTTACTTTTGAAAAATTAGAAATGAATCATAATAACAGCCAGTTTCGAAACCTCAAATATGAGAATTACTATATGTAAATCATCAGGTCGGAAATTATCATGATAACCGAAGTTACTTCACTAGTCCTTCATCATTTCACCCAGTTAAAAACCATTGAATTTCATAAATTCAGGAAAAGTAACATTAACGCAGGGGAAACTAAACGGTCAGATGATAGGGAATCAAGACAATCAGATTCAGAATGAACAAATGTCAAACCACCTAGTGGCTTTTGATATGTCCTGGTGAAGCTGTCGTGGCTCCAAAACAGAAGTATTAGGATCGTAAATAGAGTATTTTGGCCTAATGAGTACGTTTATATAATTCGGAGCATTTGAAAAAAAAACGTGATGCAACACACTGTCTCTATAAAGCGATATGAAGGCGCTCCCCATTCAGGAGCGATGCGTTTGGGCGTGTTGCCGATGGCAATTGCCCGTAAATTCTTAATCTCTTTTAATGAGGCGATAGGTTTTCCTCCAAGGAAGGAAGCTTTTTATCTTCTCTTAAAAAACTCAGGGGCTTAGTGAGAAATTTCATGAAATTGAAACCCATTTTGCTGTTTAATAATCAGAAGGTCAAAAGTATCATAGTAATCGAGGCCACAGTCAGGAGTCCGTCCCTTCATCACGTATTCTAGTCAAAATCCTTGCAACTTTCTAGATATGGAAGTGATAATGATAAAAGGAGATGACAAAGTCCCGTTTGTTCTAGTGGTAAGGTCTTTAACAGCTCGGCGAAAAAATTCCTCGCTAAAGATGGCCTTTAAACTGTAACACGTTCCTTGACCTGATCTTACGAAGGACAAGGATGGTTTTGGGAGTAACTGTTTATAGCTCGTAAGACTCAATCTTGATGCCAGACAATCGTTAGAGGTTTAAAAATACTTTAGGCCGTTTTTTTTCCGGGCGAATTGGGGAATTACCGAAAATGTCGCAAAAAAAGCTACATTACCGCTCAAAACTGTAGGTAAAAGAATCAAAAGAATCGGACAAGCAATTTTTGCTCCAACTTACAATTCAATTTGTAACTTCGAAAATTCCCGCAATTTGGGTATTGTTGACCGTAAAATCCAGAAGTATTTACAAAAGTTTTTCATTTTTTTCGCGAAAAATGCAACAAAATAGTAGGCTTTCCCTTGATGACCGAAATCACAATTATGAAATCGAATGATAACGACATTTTGAGAAATTTTCCATGCTTTGCAGATTTTGGTTGTTGTTTTTCGCAATGTATGTACCAAAAAATAAAAATCGGGACAAAGTGCCAATACAAAACAGACAAAGACTGGAAAGATATTGCATTACAGTTCTTCATTTATGCGTATTTAGCCGATAAAGAAATGAATATGGTAGTGACTCAATATAGAGAAACACAAAAATATCAACTCTTGGAAAAACATGTCGAATAAATTGGAGGATACCTCTCCGATGGATGGTGTAATACTATCTGCTGACCAGAAACAATGATAGTAGTAACAACGCAGTAAAAATTCTTGTCTAGAAGTAACCTTGTGACATTCGACCAGAATGTGAAAAATGCAATCTCTGCAGAATTCGAATTTTTAGCAGCGAGCCTTCCGGATTGGTGATTATTAAGAACTAAGAACGTTATTGGAACGATTGGCCAGACGGTGAGGGCTGGAACATTCTGGTATTTTAAAATTTCAAAAATTCGAATTATGACGTCATATTTCTGGGAAACGTCAGAAACGGCCATTTTGGCTAAAACAAGAAAGAAAAACAGAACAACATTAGCTGCGCTAACAACAACTACGAAATCGAGATTGGAAAACGACAACGAGTTACAGAGTAACAGAGAACACTCCGAGTTGCAACTATTGTGCCGCTACAATAGTTGCAAGGCCGTTGCGAACAACGGTGAAGGGTGAAGGACGGATTCCGGATTAGGAAGAAATCAGGATTAACAAGCTTGATCCAGCAGATTTGTCAATCCGGAGGGGTAAAGGAACTGAAACTTTTATCCTGTTACATAAACTTTTAGCTTCCTGTCATGTCCTGACTTGAATTTAATTAACATCTAGATTCATTTTGATAAGGATGAGAAGCTAGGAGTTGGGGGAATGGGTTGATCCATCTTCGATGGAGATGATGATTTTTATCTACTGAACAAAAACAATAGTAATATAATAAGTAGTAGCCCTGTTTTTAGGAGTGACCTCGTGGTCTGGGGATACTGAGACCCAGCCATGAGCTCACTATTTCTGCATGTAATCTAGTTAATTTGAGTGTTTTGACCGAAGCCGAAAGCAGTAACGTTTTTGTCAACCCGATGTTAGAAAGACCACCGAAAAGTACTGGCTTGGTAGAGACGGTAAAAAGCATGCAAAGCTCTGTTAAGACGTTAGCCAGTCGTCTTAAGACTTAGTTTTGTCTTCCGTCGATGTGTATCTTCCGGGCGAATGTTACATAGATGTTTTTATGGCGCTCCTGGGTGTTATTTTTTTTAACATCATGACCGGCAGAACCGTTAACGAGCACTCCGCGCCGAGCGGATGCTCACATTAACGCCCTTAATAGGCCTAAACCGCCGGGGCGGAAGGGTAGTTCGGAACGCGGAAGCCTTCCGGATTACCGTGAATAGCTTTTTAACTTAGTTAAGACCGAAAATTCACGAACCAGGAAGGGTGGGGGGATTCGCGGTCCCGTCATCTCCTGAATGGTTCGTGACCAAAAACACTTAAAGATATATATAAAACCAAACAAAAAGTAGGATAGTACCCAAGAAAAACAAAAACATAAAAAATAACCTAAAAAACCAAAAACAGCAAAAAAGTACAAAAATCAGTAGAAATCATCCCCCCAGAAAAGATGTGATCCGACCCTCCCGTTTGTTGTTGATAGATATATTGTTGTTACAGGCATTTATATCGGTCAGGATCGTTACGATCAGTTTTGTAGCCCGTTTGTGAGGCTTGTACTGTAGGGTTATTTGAGCATTTAAGCACGTTAATGATAAATTGCGCTCAATCCGGAAGGGTCAGCTGATTTGCGCTCAATTCGGAAGGGTTTTGGGAGAAGACTGATCCGGCAAGCAGTACAAGGAGCAACAAGAAGGGGCTCAACGACAACAACAATCGACTGTTGGGTATCGTTAGCAAGTTTTGTGTCCCTTTTGGTACAAAAATTAAGATAGTAATCTGTGGGGGGCTCGACAGTGCTGCACTGTAGTGACCCTTCACCGAACTGCGAATATCCGAGTTAAGCACCTTAATTCGGATATTAAACAAACCCGGAGGGGTATAGTATTACTACTATTACTAAATATATAGCCTATATCAATATTCTTATATCGTTTTTCAGTCAAAAACAACGAAAACAGACCGGTTTTTAGGGTCAAAATAGCGATATTTTGATCCCCCCACAAGTCGCGATTTTTGAAATATCGATATTTTTTGAAACGGAAAAAAGCGCTAAGTTAGTGTGTTACATCGTAACTGCACTACTATAATAGAGAGAACCGGTTAAGTTTAGTTCGAAAGTGGTTGGAACTATTTTGGTACCGAGAACCGAAATTTGGTGATTTTTGAGAAAACGAAACAATATAAATTTAGAAAATTTTTTGAAATTTTTGAGTTACAACAGAAAAAATAGTTGCTCGGACAACGTCCACTAGTGAATCTACAAGTTTTAAAACCCGCTACCCGAAAGCCTTCTGGGTTGCAGAGAAATCGAACTTAACGTGTTTGATTTGGTGGATTCATCAATCCGGAGGGGTACAGGTAGCATAGTTTTTCGCAAATTTTTTCAGCAAAAGCATTTTAGATCGGGTGTTTTGCATTGAACTAGAAGAGTATAGGCCTTCTGAGCTCGGATCAATAATTTTTTTAGGTAGAAAGGACCTGATTTGCGGAAAAAGTTAGGCGGAACCTATAAGAGAGAAAAATTTTTGAGTTTTAAAAAAAGACGTTTTGGTTAATAACTTTGGAACTACTGGGCATATCGAGTTGATCTTGGTACCAATAGATCAGAAATTAGCTGAGCTTACTGATAGGGACAAAAGTTTTTCGGAAAAGTAAGCGTGAAAATTTTTTGAGATTGTTTTTAGCAAATTCCTCAATTTGGAAGGGTAACCCTTCACGTTTTACAAAAATTTTTTAGAAAAGCCCTTATACCCCTAATAAGAGGTAATAGCGGTTGAATAAAGTAACTTTAGGCTGTTCTAGACAAAAAGGGAAGGCTAAAGGCACAGCAAAAGCTTAAGCGAGCCGAAGCTAGGCGAGCGATAAGACCCTTCACCGTTAGTGTGAATTGTCAAATAAGAGGCTTAACTTCAATCCGGAAGGGTCTAGGAAAGAAGTGCATACCCTTCCTAGTTAATTGAAAGAGCAAAATTGCATCGGAGAACGTATCCGGAGGGGTATAGGTTGAAAGAAGGAAATCTCCGAAAAGCTACTTCTACGAATCCGGAGGGGTCTTATAGTTGCTAATTCGGAGGGGTCCAAATCCAGAGGGGTCTTATATTAACTAACTCAGAAGGGTCCCAATCCAGAGGGGTCCAGATTCTGCCAGTCCGGAAGGGTTCTATTTGTGCCAATCCGGAAGGGTTTTATTTTATTAAAGGACTTAAGTAGAAGAGAGAAAGACTAAAAAGTGAGAGCCATTAGGTTAGTAGCACACAGGCTAGGTATCAGTGACTGCACTGGTAACTTGCCTTTCAATAAGAACCAGACCAAAACACAACAGGTCCGAACTCGGATATTCGCGACACTAAGTCTAAATTAAAAAGTGCGTGATTCATTGGTGTGGATTGTAACATAATACGTTTTTTGGGAAAAGTGACTGTCCTGAGGATTTTAGTAGGTCTAGCTCGGGCAGTCCGAAGGCAGATAGGTAACACAGTACTCGGTGGGTGCAATAGACGCCCACTTGAGAAAAATACTGCCTTCAAAGTTTTGTCTGTTTGGTGCAGCACCGAGCAGGGAAAGCTTTTTCTTTAAAAGACAGGTTCGACTATTGTACTGCGACCGACTAAGAGTACATTACACATACGTTTTTTTTCATAGAGGTATTCATATTCTGACATTAAATATATTTTTTTTTGTTTTTGATTTTAAATCAACATAAATTGTGCTTGATTGGGTAGTGAGTACACTATCTTTTAAGGTGACTGATAACATCATATTAAGCTAGTTTTCAAATCTTACGACCGATAATCGGTTAGTGTGAATAGATTTTATACAAACTGTACTCTGATAACATACAGGGATTCGTGGTCACTATTTAACAGAATCTTGTGAAATTTTTTGTGTTGTGTCATTTTTATTATTAATAAAACTATAAGGTCTCTAGCAATCGAGTTAAGTGTATAGGCATTAAAAAGTGACAAATAGAGAATGAGTCTAGACAAGTCAAGGATACCAAAACGAGGTAATAGCTCTAGAAAATTCATACCTGAAAAGCAAAGAAAAACGATGACCGATCCTTTTGTGGATTGGATCAAGCGATCCCGGTCCGACAAAGGGGAGACGGTTTCAGGCAGAATGGTTGAAACGAGAAGTCAGAAGACCTCAGAAGAGCGTAAAGAAATGTTAGAAGTGGAGGTCAATACGGACCATAACATGAACGACAACCAGGAAGTAATTGGACTGGAAGGGAGAGGCAGAAGGCTGGCGAGTGAATCTACTCCGGTAGAACAAGGCCATGATTTTGCCACTTCCACCGGGACATTGGATCGAGAGGAGATGTCGGAACTGTCCGACATCTCGACTGAAATAGCGACAACTAGAAGATCTCCGACAGACAGCACCATGATGGCAGGCGGAACTGGGAAACAAACAACGTCATCATCATTCTCAGAAAGAATGAAGAACACCTTCGGAAACATCTTTCCATTCAGCATGGGAGGAGGAGCAGGAAATGACGGTGAATCCCAGGAGGAAGAGGATGAAGAGGAGCAAGGGGACTTTGGACCTCAAGTCAGCCTCAATAGTTCGATCCAGGAAAATGAGGCACACGTCGGAAGAGAGACTGGAACCATGGACAAATTTGGTGTAGTGACAACGATAAGCAAAGAGGCAAACACACCGGGCCAGTCAAAAGACTTCGCGATTATGACAAATTCAGAGCTGCAAGCTGGGGAGAGTAGAAATAGAGAGCTGGGCAACGCATTGGCGGATCCTGAGGTAGATAAAGAAAAGACGTCGAGGCAGAGAGTCAAGGCCCGGATCTCGACCAGCACGAAGCTACCTGGGACCGACAGGGTTACATCGCCACTAGTAACGCCACTCGTGGATAACGGGGCAGCACTAGAAGAAACCTTAAACAACATAGTGGACAGTTTAGGAGAACAAAACGAGCAGATGTCAATAAGGATGAGTGAACTAGAAAGGGCAGTCCACATTGAAAGAGAGAGTCTGCGGGAAGAAATAAACCGCAACAGACAAGAAGTTGGCAGGAGCGAAAAACGCTTGAAAGAAAGAACGGACGAACATATGGCGAGAAACTTGTCGCGAATGACAAGAGAGGCGGAACAGCGAGAGTTACGCTTAAGAGACGACATGGAGAAGTTAAGAATTCAACAAGAGCAGTCTCTTGGGACTCTTGACACAAAGATAGACGCGATGATGGAGAAGCGAACTCAGGCTATCATGGATAGGTTGGACGGGCTACTAAGCAGCAAGAGTGGACCAAAAGAAGGAGTACCGAACTCGGGAGGTCCCAGCAGGGAACCGAGGGTGAACTTCAATGAACATCAGAAGAGGAAGACGTACGGATCCACTAGAGGCAGGGGCAGTTCATCAGGCTATGCCACAAGGGGTAATGGAGCATGGGGCCCGAGCAGTAGAGCAAGTTCAACGGGGAACAGACAAACCTCTAATGAACGACCAACGCAAGGCACACATGCGACTGGGAGAAGTGATTCCGGCAATAGGGGGCATGCGAGCCCGAGGAGGAGTCATGTAGGTCAAGAGGGAAACACTCACGGCGATTCGGATTGCAGGGATGCACCTCATACAAAGCCTTCGACGAGATGTGAGGACACTCAAGCAGGACACTCAAGGGATGCTACAGCAATGGCCACAGCATTTGAACCCCTAAACAGGTCTTTGGAGACATTCCTGACAAGGTTATCAAGAACCAATGAACGCAGT